ACTGCCAACGTGCAGAGTGGAGGTAAGCAGACAAAAGATAGTGCACTTCTCAGTGTGGCTTATGTCTAGATGTCCCCACCAAAGCCTCATGCAATCATAGGTGGGGCTTTTCAGAGGTGGCTGGATCTAGAGTGTGTGATGCTAGAGTTGATTCATGGTGCAATGCTGGGACTTAGGATACTGGGATTAAGGGTGTGTGATTACTAAATCAGCCCACTGATTGGTTTGGCACTTGGTTACCAAGCTGCCTCTGGTTCTGTCTTTCCTAACAAGATAGTGGCAGCAGCTTGGATGTCAACTACTGGCTCAGGGGGACCCATGCTTTCTCCCCCTCGTCTTCCCCTTCCAGTGTGTGTTAGTTACTTTTCTTGTTGCTAAGACAAAATACCTGACACCCAAAGTTAAAGGAGAAGAGGTTTGGTTTACAGTTCATAGTTGGCTGGCTCCAATGCTTTGAGTTAAGCCCACACTCCAAGGCATGGTGGCATGGCAGAGGGGCACTGCAGAGGAGAAACAGTTCATGGTGGGCTGAAGACACCAAGCAGCAAGTCCAAGCAAACTTAGCAGCTTTTTTCTGCCCCTCTGTCTTAGATTAACTAATGGTCAACTTGGAACACCAAGCTGAACTGAGTCAGTATGGTTCTGAGTATGGAAGACCCACTTGAGAATTACTACCAGTGGCCTTAAAGGAGAATTGGAGGGGAAAAATTGTATGATGTTCATTTACCTGGGGAGGCTTCCTGCAGCTGGTTTTCCTAATGCAAACTTGGCTGATCTTGTCATTGTTGGAGCTTGGGTCCTTGTTGTTGGATGAGAACAGCTACTATTCTTATCAGGGGAGCTCTGATCTTCACCTTGAGTATTGCTTCCTGGTTCCAGTGAAGATTCCTCAGCCTGGTGGCATGGATCCTTTATTCCTCCACTGCAGGCTTTCTAGCTTCCACCACTGGCCTTTGGGGCTTCCTGGTGCAGATCCTTGATATAGACAAGCAAGAGATATTGCTGTGGGCTCTAGGCCTCTGGGTGGCCTTGTGCTGGACATTGCTGTGGGATCCAGGGCCTTGGCTGGATTCTTTGGATCTCTAGTGTGTGGACAGATTTCTAGCACTCCTCTGCATTGGGCTTTTGGGGTGAATATTATAAAATAATTCTGTAAATTATATGTCCTATATTAAATCTATTCTCTTGCAAATCCTGACTATAACACTCTTCTATATTGTATCTAAGCTACCAAGCTTAGGGCAGGTGCCAAACCCATCAGTGGACTGATTTAGTAATACCACATCCTTAATTCCAGCATCTTTAAACATTCCAACCATGGCACCATTCTCCTAACAAACAACTCAATTGATCACGGGACCAACTTTTCAATGATGAGTTGTGTAGCAGACATCCCTGCCCAGTATCAACAGGCTATTAGTGGCACGAGCTCCTTGTCCCTCTATATTTTGCCTGTATTATATTAGGAGTTTAACCAAAGCTTTACATGACTCAAATGGGCATGTCAGATAGCAGAGTTGGGCAAGTAGAGCCCCTCGGCCAATGGCTGCTACCGAGACTTAAGTCCTAGTCCATGAAGAAGCAGGGCCTTGGTGAGTTCACTTCCAGCCAAGGTCAACTTGCCTGCAACTAAATTCTTTCCCTCTGAAGTACCCATTTGTTCTGTTCAGCAAGATAAATGAATCCATTTACCATGAATCACTTCCAGCATCACACACTCTAGATCTAGTCACCTTTGAAAAGCCCCACCTCTGATTACATGCAGCTTTGTGGGGACATTTAGACATAAGCCATAACACAATGCATATCCATTCTTTTTTTTTTTTTTTTGGTACTGGGGATCGAACTTAGGACCTTGCGCTTGCGAGGCAGGCACCTGAACCACTGAGCTAAATCCCCAGCCCGCATATCCCATTCTTGAAAGAGAGACTTCTTTTTCTCCAGACTCCATCTGGCCCATCTTAGGAGTTCAAAATGTGTGTGTATGTGTGTGTGTGTGTGTGTGTGTGTGTGTGTGTGTGTGTGTGTGAGAGAGAGAGAGAGAGAGAGAGAGAGAGAGAGAGAGAGAGAGAGAGAGGCAGAGATAAGGTAGAGATAGAGATATATATATAGAGAGAATATGAATGAATGCCTTATTCCGGGTGGACTTCTGGGGTTGGCAAATCCACATCCACTCAATTTCATTCTCCAGGGGCCTCTTAGGATTTTAGTTGCAAACATGGAAACCAGCTCTAGTTGACAGAAGCAGAAAAGCAGTTTCTTAATATGATTGAGGAACTCCCAGGGCCTCCAGAAGTTGGAAAAACAGCCCTGGGAGATACAGGCAAGAACAATGTCCAGTTCTGATCCAGTCTAATAGACATCGTGTTGCCACTGATGACCCCTTGGCCACTGAACACTTCTCCTAGGATTCCTTCTCCTCTCCCTCAAAGCTGGGGTGGAGCCTGGGGTGCAGTTTGTATCCTGGCAGTAAGGAGGGCTGGGAAAACAAGCCACTCAACAAGGAGAGGGTTCACACTTGTAAGGTGGGAGAGCCCCCCAATATGCAAAGGGATGCAGATGTGAGGCAGGCAGAAAGAACCCCAGTGTCTGCTGCAGGAGTGGGATTAAGAACGAGGGGGTTCCTTGTCTCCTCTCCTAACCCAGATGCCTCTCTAGGGACTAGGATTTAAGTCAGTTCTCTGTCAGCCCCACATCCAGGAAGAAGAGCTTCACTGGGGAAGAGGATGCATTTTTCTCTTGTCCCCAGATTATCCCCAGTCACAGTGAGAACTTCAGAGGCACTAAGAACTGGAAATAGGGTAGTTGTTCACGCACGATGTTATAAAGTAACTTAAACCCTGGACTGTAAAAGGAAGGTAAGGAGGTCCAATAAATGTCCATTCCCCCCACTCCACCCCATAATGCTTTCTTCTAAGGTTTCCAAGCAACAGGTGAAGGAGGAGGAGCCTCCCAGCAGAGCAGGAATGCGGGTGGTGGAGCAAGGCCATGTGGAAATCTGGGTCAGGATTTCTTACTCACCTGGAGCCACCAGGTAAGGGATAGCTAGTGGGCTGTCATCCAGAGCTATACCTAGGCCTGGACAAGATGAAAACCCCATCATCAAGCACTAGGCACACCTCACGGGGATTCTGATTCTGGAGAACTCATTGGACATCCTGTGAGCAGCCACCTTCAGGCCCATGGACCAGGACTTTGTGATCTGAACAGGTCCCCTGCCCCCCTGAGTTCTGGAGCTTGGACACTCTGTCCATCTGTCCTGGGAGCCTGCACTGTCCCCAAGGGAGGGAGGGACAATCGCTGAGACAGATGTGGGTCTAAGTGTTCTCAGCACACACAAAAACATCGTTAACACTGAGGCTGCAACAGGGAGATCACAAGCTTGAGCACAGCCTCGGGAACTTAGCAAGATGCTGCCTCAAAATAAAAAATAAAACCGTGGGAATCTAGGTGCAAGGCCTAAGCCAGGGTTGAACTCTCCTTGTGATGCAAGGAGGAGGCATAGCAAGCTGTCTCCCACCTCGGCCTGCTCGCGAGCATGCCAGCGTCAATCAGTTTCAAGGAAACAGCTGCAGCTGAGGTCAGATTAAAAGAAAATACACATTTGGGTATAGTGATATACCCTGATTAACTCTTCCTGAACCCTGGATCACATGGTTGCCTGCTTCTGGTTTGTGCAAGTCTAACAAAAGCAAGGAGCACTATCAGATCAGGACTGTTTGTCCACTAGAGGCACAAGTGCCCTGGTCCTCCTCTTCCAAATTATCTTTGTCTTGTCTTTTGTCCTCATTGGTTCTCCAGTTGGGGATAAACTTGTAGGCTGGTGCCTACAAAACATGGCTGGACATGGAGGTCAGTGGGAGGGCCCTGGGTCCCATCCTTATGGTACCCCCCAATAAAAAATTGAACTATTTTATTTACTTATTTACTTTTTTGAGGTGGCAGGAATTGAAGCAAAGACCTCACACATGCTAGGTAAGCACACTACTTCTGAGTTCTGTCTCCACCCCTGTGTCAAATGGTTTTAAAGTGTTATTCTTATGGAGGGAGTAACAGGTCTGCTTCACTGGGCAATCAGGCACAGCGGGAGGCACGCTGTTGCTGGCCTGTGTTTGTAGAGGTACTGGCACCTCGGCGAGGATGTTGCTGCTAGAACAGCTGCCATTTATTGATGCCTATTATGTGCTGGCACTAGGGTAGCTATTTTTTACATTTCTATTGTTAATCCTTAAACCTTTTCATTCCCACAGAGAGATGGAGAAACTGAGGCCACAGGTTAGTGTCTGCAGTGGACAAAGCCCAGGGACCTTCTATTCTTTTTAGCTTCCTAGACCAAGAGCTCCCATCTGACTTTAGGTCCTCAGGCTCAGCAAGTGCCTGGTCAACAGCAGACAGGGACAGAGAAATACCTGTTGATAGAAGGGACATCAAAAGTGGCGAACTGGAACTGGGCATGGTGGTGCATGGCTGGTACTTGGAAGGCTGAGGCAGGAGGATCATCACAAGTTTGAGACCAGTCTGGGCTACAGAGTTCAAGATCAGCCTAAACTACATAGTGAGAACCTGTCTCAAAAAACCCAAACATGATGAACTGGAGCCTCATTCACTATCTAACAATGAAACAAACATGGTACTATTAGTACTGTTATGGTTTGGACCTTAAATGACCCTCAAAAGTGCTATTGGGAGGCAATGGAACCTTTAAAAGGCGGGGCCTACTGTGAAAGGAAGTGAGGTCATGTAGGGCGTGTCTGTAAGAGGATATCTGTTTGTTTGTTTTTGGTACTGGGATTGAACTGGATCCTTGCACTTGTGAGGCAGGCGGCAGAACCACTGAGGTAAATCCCTGGCTCATATAAGAGGATATCTGGACTCTTCCCCCTGCCTCTGGTGACCACTGAGCTTCTCAGTGTCCCCTACTATGTGCAAACAGAGCTCCAAAGTGACAGGGCTAAGATACCACAGATGGAAACCTCTGAAACCATGATCCAAAATCAATCTTTCCTCCTTTTAAGTTGTTTATGTCAGGTATTTCATCACAACAACAGAGAGCTACCACAAACACAGCTGAGACAGAGATTCAAGCTCGGACAGAGCTTGAGCCATACACGAAACACACATGGGGAAAAACAGCGGCCCCTTTACGTCTCCTGAGCGTCCAGTCCCCATCAATCTGGCGTGGTGCTGGCCATTTTGGACTTGAGGATGGTTTTCCGGTTGGTCTGTTGACACTGTGGAAGGATTTTATAGCATCTCCTTTCTTTATTCCTCATAAATATGTTTCTCACAGTTAAAATCTGGTCCTTATTGGAATGAGCACAAAAGGCTGAAAAATGCACTTAAAAAAAAAAATCGTTAGTCTTGGTAAAAAAAGTGGTGAGTCCCCAGAATGGAGTTTGTTCTTGTTACTTTTGGTTTCGGCTTTTTGAGACAGGGTCTCGCTATGTAGGTCAGGCTGGCCTTGAAGGAAATTCTCCTGCCTCAGCTTCGCTGGTGCTAGGATTCTAGGCGTGCATCACCACACCTGGCTACAAACTAGTTCTTTGGTTGTTTGGACAAGTCCACTGTCTGAGAGTTGTAGATCTGGTGTTTGCTCAGGAGGTTGTGCTGATCTCTCTCTGAGGCAGACTCGGGGAGAGCAGGGTCGCTGGGTCCCACTGAGTAGGGTTCCTCCTCGGAAAGTAGCTCTGGGGGTCCTGGTCCAGACGGGGCCTCAAGGCTGCAACTGTCATCAGGATTCTGCCTGCTGTTTTCAGAGTATTCTGTAATGACACTTAGCTTGTCGAAAACGTCACTCTCACCGGAGAGTGGGAAGGAGAAAACCAGAAGTGTCCCGTGATGTGGGTGGCCCAAAAACTGCAGGAGAAAACAAAAAGGACAGTTAATTATCAAAGTTCCCCATTGCTTTTTCTGGGCTTGCAAGAATTTTATGCAGTACTTCTGGCTTGGAAAATATGGTTTTAAAAATGTAACATAAGCTGAGCATGGTAGTGCACACCTGTAATCCCGCCAGGTGGGAAGCTGAGTGTTATGGTTTGTGTCTAGATGTCCCCCCAAGGCCTCATGTGGCCATAGGTGGAGGAGGTGGCTGGATCTAGAGTGTGTAACACTGGAATTGACTCATGGTGCAATGCTAGGCTCCAGGGCACTAGGATTAAGGGTGTGAGTGCTACAGGCCCCAAGTAGTCTGGATAAGATAAAAGGGGGTGGAAGAGGCTGTTAAGGCCTCTTGTTGGTTTGCTTCTGTCTATCAACCATGAAATGTTTCTCTGCTACACCACTACTCTGCTTTGGAGCCAGCTGATTATGGACTGAAACTTCTACAAACTGTGAGCTAAATAAACCTTTCTCCTTTTAACTTTAGGTGTTGGCTATTTTGTCTTAGCAATGAGAGAAAAGTAACTAAGACACTGAGGCAGGAGGATCTCTGCAAGTTCAAGGCCAGTTCAGGGTACATAGCGAGGCCCTGTCTAAAAAAGGGTAACATTAACTCTACAGTGGTTCCTCTCAAAATTCAAAATAGAATGAGCTTATGATTTAGCAATTACATGCCTCAGTATAGTCTCCAGAGAAATGAAAGTGATCCTCAAATGTCCTGAGGCAACACTGTCTCATAGGAATGTATCCTGAGGCACATATGGTTGTTGCCAGGGTCTGGAAACTAGTGTTTAATGCACATAGATTCCAATTTTGGAAGACTAAAAAGTTCTGGAGGTGACTGCACAACAATGTGAATTTACTTAACGCCACCAAATTGCACTGTTAAAAACAGTTACGCTGGTAAATTTTGTTATGTGTATCTTATCACAATTAAAAAAGATGGGACAGTGAGGTGTACAACTCATTTGCTAAGTGCTCACAGGTTGCCCTGTAATACTGCCAGTCTCAGTACCCCTCCCCAGGGTGGTGAGGATCGAACACAGGGCCTTGTGCTGTTAGCCTGATCACAGTGCTGTGGGGCTGACACAGCCTGGCTGTTATTTCTTCCAGGAAGCAGGAATGCCACAGATCCTGGAAAAATACAGAGCATCTCCAGCGCATCCTCACGCTTAGTTAGGAGCCTCTTTGGTATCCCCAGCATCCAGTGTGTCCCTTGATTTCAGCCCTTAGCCCTGTGCTAAGGTATGTACCCAGGAACCAAATGTGGCTATGGGTAATGTGGCTAGTTCGAATCAATGTGTACTGTGTGAAATACATACAGGTGATGAAGATCATCTGTGAAAAAGAACACGAACTATCCTAAAGGGCCTTAAAAAATACATTGCTTATTGGTGCAACGATGCTCTTTTAGATGTATCGGGTACATAAAGTACAATGTTCATTTCAGCTGTGTCTTTTTACCTTTATAAATGCTGTCTCCTAGCACATTTAAAATACATGTGGCTCATGATACATTCCCACGAGATGGGGTTGCCTCACAACATCTCATGGGCACTGACTCGCCACAGCTTGTCTCTCCCATGTACAGGGCCAGTTAAAGACAGGGACCACAGTCCAGCCACCCTTGTCTCAATACTCCGAACAGTGTAGATGTGCATACACTGCCAGAAATCTCTGTTGATTGCATGTTCTCTATTCTTCATCCTCATAGGTCCAGCAAAGCCCTTCGTCTCCAGGATTCAATGGAGAAACATCCTTTAAAGCTTTGCATTCTTAACCCATCCCCTCAGATGGAACTTCCTTGCTTTCCTCCTTAATCCATCAGTCTCCTCTCCCCGTAATGTCATGTCTGCTCAGTCTTCTGATGACTCAGCCGGAGTGGAGGGTGCCTGCCCTACCGCTAGTGTGGACCCGCCACTATTTCCCCTCCTGGCTCTTAAGCAGCTCATGAAAGAGAGTGGGGAGGCCAGGGGCACTACGTCCAGATCCCTGCTGGGCCATGGAGGAAGCTAGGGGAAGAGGAAGCTCTCTGAACCCTTAGATCCAGTGGGTTCATGAGACTGGGCTAGAAGGTACCACTTGGTTCTCCCAGGAAAAAGCAAGGAGAGGAAAACAAGAGAAAATGCACTAAATCTCAAAAAAGCAAGTGTCAGGCTGAGTCTCCTGGTTGGACACACACAGACACAGGTTGTCATGGTTTATATCTAGCTGTCCCCCTAAAGCCTTATGGGATCACAGGTGGGACTTTTGGAAGGTGATTAGATTTTGGGGGCTGACGGCAGGCTCACTAGTAGGAGGTGGGGTCTGGTGGGAAAAGGTGGATCCCTGGGGGTTCACATCCTTCCCCAGGTCCTCTCTTCACTCTCTGCTTCCTGTCTGCCATGCTGTAAGCAGCTTTCCTCTGCCATGGCTTCCTGCCCTGCAGCCAGTGGGCTATGGGTTAAAAATGCGAGCCAGAATAAACCTCTGCTCCTTTAACCTGTGGGTGTTGAGTATTGTGTCCCAGTGAGGAGAAAGTGATTAAAAGCATAGCTCCTGAAATACAGCTCGACACTCTATGATGGATAAATTTCCCTATTGCTTTTTCATCTCAAAGTCTCCCACCCAGCCAATCTCCTTAAATTCAAAATGACTCTATGGGTCATGGTTAACCCACTTTTAAGTGATGAGCCAAACTTGAGAATTTGGTGATCTGCTCTGTAGTTTTCTTTGCCCTCACTCTCACCCTGCTCCAGCACCCCAAGCCCTTGTAGCTCTCAGATATTACAGGGCCAGTGAGCCTGGGAGGCAAGCGTTCTTTCCAAAAGGTCCTTGAATGATAATAAAATTTGTCTTGGCTTTGATTTGCCATCTGATCTTTCCCATCTGACTAATTTCTTTGATGGTGAAGCCAAGCAGCAAAAATAGCAGGTTTATTTTTTTTCCTGGTTCTCAGTTAACAAAACACTTTCTTCCCATAGCAAAGGGCCTGGCCCTCTTTGTTCTGCCTGTTCCAGCTGTGGTTTTCCAGAAGCTCAGCCTGGAGTTCCTGACTCTTTCTGGTGCTGCAGGGCTCGAAGGTGCTTCTTTTAGAAGGTTCTAGCTTCTCTGTGGGCACAAGCACTGCTTTCTATCCACAGTGGGTGCTGTCCTGGGCTGCCCAAGTTCTTGGGACAAGCGTGGGGCCGCTTATCCTCAGCTTCCAGTGGACAGTTGAAATGGCCACAGCTGGGTCCCTTTCCAGGAGACACCTCCACAGGAGAGGAAGCAGGTATGGGCCAGGGAGCAGGAGGCCCCACCCACTCCTCCAGCCCGGGGACCATCTACCAATGAATATGCTAACTGAACCTGAAGCTCATGTGACCCGGCAGATCCTTGAAGAGTTTATGGTGAGAAAAAGACTGGGTAGAGTTCACCACCAACCCCAAGAGGAGAATCACAGTGCAGACCCTAGAGCTCTGGGCTAGGCTGGGCCATCTGCAGCAGATCAGTTCATTCTGTTTGAACAATTCCTGGAGGGTTCAGGGACCTGGCAGAGACAGAGTCTGGGACCATGGGATACTGAATGACAACGCCCTGAAGGGGCCAAAATATAGTCACTTACATCAAAACCAAACTAAATGAAGCTGAGAGGTCATGAAAGGGAAGTCTTCATGTATGGTTTGCCTGATATTAGGAAGAACTACTGCAAAAGATCCTACCAAACCACAACCTTGCACAAAGCCACCTCTACAAGGCCATGTGCTCAAGATCTGCCACATGTGTGCAACTATGGCCACACGTAAGAGTTGTTACTGATCTTTAGAGCCAGGACAATTGTTCCAAAACAACCTACCAGACTTTACTCACTTTACCTTTAAAAACTTGTTTTCCTTTGTCTCCCCGAATATTTCTAAGGCCCCCCATCGCTTGCCATCACACATGTACCCTGGATTTGCAAATGTTCTGCTCATTCCTGGAAAGAACATCATTTTTCTTTAGAAAATCTCTCTGTTATAGAAGCTACATCACCACAGGGCCTGTCAGACCCATCAGGTGCTAAGACAGGGTGTGGGGTACAGGTCAGCCACACACACAGGTGGCTTAGGCTCCCATGCTGTCTGTCCCTCTGCACCTGCTCTACTTCTGCTCACAGTATGACCATATAGGGGAGCAGGTCCTCTTTCTCTCCCTGAAAGGGAAAGGCCAACTTGCCAGCATGGTATGTGGTTCAAACCAGAAATGTCTGCTGCTGCAGTGTAGCCCCAGGCAGAACTAAGCTGTCCATCAGGCAGACCTTTGGACTGTATATCTGGTCGACCCCTTTGTGCGTAAGGAAAAGTATCCCAAGATCAGGCTTACCATGGAATCACAGCAGCCTTAATGGCCAGGATGGGGGTTGGGGCCTAGAGGAGGGAAAGCTGGATGGTCAGGTTCAAGGATGTCTGGGGAAGATCTCTAAGGGCTATGGGACTGGGGAGGCCTCTGTTGTAACAATATCACAGCTCATCTCTCTCTCTCTCTCTCTCTCTCTCTCATCTTGCTACCTCTCTCTCTTAAGGGAATTATTTCCAAGGAAATTCCTCATTAAGCCATTGGAATGGTCATCTCTATCTCAGAGGTAATTTCCTGGAAAATGAGAGCAAAGATCGGTCCTTTTGGAGTCTGGGCTTGGCATATTTTCATTTTCAAGTGAGAATGTTAAGTTATCCCTCAGGTATGCACAGGGATGGGTTCCAGGTCCCCTTCTGGATACCAAAATCCACAGATTCCTTATATTAACCGGTGTAGTATATGTATGTAACCTGTGCACATTCTACTGTGTACTCAATCATGTCTAAATTATCTATGCCACCTACACTACAATCTAAATGCTAGGCAAATCATTGGTATGCTGTATTATATAGGGAATGACAATTAAAAGGCTTTGTACATGTTTAGCACAGATGCAATTAAAAATATTTGATCTACAGTTGGTTAAATGCACAAAGGTGGAACTCAGATACAGAGGGCAGACTGTATATACAGAATTTAATCTTTTAGGGTCTCTTCAGTCCTCTAAACTTCAGCAAACGGCATTCTCCTTCTAAACCCTTTGAAAATAGCTTCCCTAAAGTCTAGGATACACTTCCTGGTATTCCAAACCTGAAAACAAATCTCTTCCTCCTCCCACCCTCTCCCTCTGGCTTTTTGCTGGCTCTTAGCCACAAGCTTTCTCTTTTCTTCTCCAGTGTGAGCTCTGCTGTTTCCTTTCCAGCCCCGGAACTGTCACCTTTGCGCCCCGAGGACCCGGGCTTTGGGCAGTGAAGGCAGAGAAAGAGCAATGTGCAGGTCCACGGGTGGCTTCTGGAACAAAGCTTGGCCTCCAGGTTCCCCGAATGGGCCCAAGGGAATGGATCAGTGCATAAGATGTGTGCGATTCTCCCAGAAAACACGTGTGCTCTAACTTTACAGGACAACCCTTTCCAAGTGGGGTTTTCCAAACTACATCTTGCTCCATCCTACCTACCTCTTTCAGGTGCTGCGGAAGAGAACTCCCGGGTGAGAAGGTGTACTTGGTCTTCTTGTAGACATACCACAGCAAGGTGAAGCATCCCAGGAGCACGAGCAAGGCCACAAAGACCGAGACTATGAGGATGCAAGCCACCAGCCAGGAGGGGGTCGTTTCTGCAGGCATCATGGGGTGGATTAGTCTTGTCATGTACAGGTTGGGCCACAGTGATCCTCAGACCATTTTCACCAGTCCCTGAAAACAGGGCCCATATATTCATTCTGGATGGCATCCCAGAAACACAGAGGCTTTTGGAGAATCCAGGGGTTCTTAGTGAGTTTGACCCCTTCCTATGTTCTTTAAAATTTGGTTTCTGGCATTATTGCTGATACACATAACAAGATTTTAAGCAAGAATTCTGATCCATTTCGCCTATGTGCAGGGTGGCACTGGGCTGTCTGCTGTGGATATACCTTCTCTGCCTTGAAGCAGCAAGCAGACTCCCTGTCCCTGAGCCCAAGGGAAACAGAGGCTGGGGGCTGGGGCCCTGTACCGAGAACTGCAAACACTCTGTGTACTAAAGACTTCAAGAAATCCGACCAAAGCTCAGCAAGGCTTCTAGCAGCCTGAGGCCACAAGGCCATGTCCTTGAGTGGGATCTGGGGCCCCTGGATTTCCTGACTGAAACCTTCAAGGCTGCTCAAAGAGTGTGCTGTGTGTTTTGGCCAATGCATCACCACAGGCGCCTGATCTTAATCTGAGAGCTTTTACTATAAATTGCTTCTTCCAACTGTCATTCTTTCCTCTGTCCCTTTGAGATGCGTATGTATCTCCTACAATACAGGAGGGTCCTCTTCAAGAACCTGAGAGCCATTTCTTTGAAATCATCAGGAAGGACAGTCTCTACGGGACAGCAAAAACCTGACTTTGATAAATGCAGTTAGCAGACATGGAAGGGCTAATGGCAATGGTATTTAATTATTATTACTTTTTGATAGTACTGGGGATTGAACCCAGGGCCTTCACACTGAGCTATATCCCCAATCTTTCTTCATGTTTATTTTGAGAAAGTGTCTTATTAAGCTGCCCAGGCTGAGCTCAACCTTGAGATCTTCTTCCCTGACCCTGCTGCTCCCCTCCTTCCCTGTAAGACGCACAGTCTCCTCTACATAAATGGAGCTCAGCTCTTTATCCTGCTGCAGTTGGATAAAATCGGTTTTTATTGCTTTAGTCTCATTTTGTTTATTTTTCACAGCACCTGGGATGTCACCCTGGTCATTCCTGGTCTCAGCTCCTTGTTCAGCACCAGGCCGCTCCTCCAGTTGCCCTGGCCACCTGGCCTCTCTCTACCTACCCCTTGCCGATGAGCACCACCCTCCTGAGTGGGGCCAAGAGAACAAACTCTGCTTGTTTAAAGGCAAGTCACCTGAAAGGGACCGTTTGTGGGGAAAATGCCACCTGTCACTTGGACTGGACAGATCAAGGAACCCTGAACAAGTACACTGGCTTTGGAGCTACACCAACTGCAGCCATTTGTGGCCTCTCAGGGCACTTGTCACAGCGTGTGACTCACAGTGGACACTTCTTAAATATCAGCTAGATGGGTGGGATGTCTGCACGGAACAGAGGCCGGGAGGAACGGGCCCCACCTTCTGCCTCCCTCCCTCGGCCTCCTGTGTCTGTGTCTCTGCAAGCACTGACCTGTTCTGCCCTACTTGGGACTCCTGCAGTTCCCCACTAATTCTTGTTTCATGAACCAGAAGCAACGAGTGGTTTTCCACTTTGGGTGTGTTCCACTCAGTATGCTGTTCCTCTTCCTTGTGAGTGTGGGGTGGGCTAGATTCTGGCTGATAATAGGGATGGGAACCTGGCACCCCAGCTCTTGAGAAGACTCCAGGCTTTTTCTCATCCACCATCTCTCATGCTTCCATTAATATGTCAGTCACCAGGGAGACTCATGAAAGCACGCTCAACTAATTCATGTCAGTATCATGACATCTTACTGATGTAATTGTTAACTTTCCCCCCATGCCCCACTATCCTCTCTCACACCCCCCTCTCATTCCCTTCCTCTTGTCTAATCATAGCCTCCCTTCTACTTTCACGTCCTCTTTTTTAGATTCCACATATTGGGGAAAACATTCAGTACTTGTCTTCCCCAGTGTGGCTTATCTTGTTTAACATGATGAGTTCCAGTTCCATCCATCTCCAAAAGCAGGTTTTCAGTTGCTACATTTTACTCTTTCTTTCATAAAATGCTTTAATTTTACTAATTAATGGGTGATCATTTATATTCACAAGTTATTTGTGATACTTTTTTTTTGTGGTACCAGGGATCAACTCAGGACTTTGTGCTCATGAGACAGGCACGCTGCCACTGAGCTAAATCCCCGGCTCTTCGTAAGTTATTTGAAATATTTTTATTTTTAGTCAAACTGTACACCTCCTGCCAGGCTTCATGGCTTGAGGGAACCTGCACATGTGTCACCTTCTGTATCTGAGGTTGCCGAGCCTCTTGACAACATCTTAGCATAAGAATAAGGCCTTTTTTTTTTTTTTGTACCAGGGATCAAACTCGGGTCCTTGTGCTTGTGGGGCAGGCGGTGGAATCACTGAGCTAAATCCCCGGCCCAAGGCCTGCTTTTATTAATAACTATTTGTTATAATTTATTGATTGTAGGGAGCTATCTGAGCCACAAATGCTTTTCACCTAGCACGCAAGTACAGCACATCTGCACATGAAAAGTGATCAATCTCCTGGCCAATGGGCCTTTTCTTTCTCTTGGTGTTTTAAGAAACACCAAGTATGGTGGCACTCTGCTAGACATCACGGTCCCCCGTGGTATCTAAGAGACCATGGTGAGGTCCTCATTCCATATTTCACCAGGGGCCCTGATACAAGTGACACTGGTGGAGGTGAGTGGTAAGGTTTCCAAAGTCTCTCTTCTCATGATCGTGTGACTGTGCCCCAGGAGAGAGGCTTTTGGGGTGTGTGTGTGTGTGTGGCAGGGCTCAAGCTCTGCTTGGTGGTCTTGGGATGACCCAGGAGCTTTCTTCTGGGAGCCTCTGAGGGCAGTTCTGGTAGAGCAGAGGTGGCTCATGGAGGCAAACCTCAGCTCCCAGGTGGACAACGGTCCCATCAATCCCTTGGTCTGAGGGAATGGCCTCCTCAGAAGGGAGGGGCGGTCTTCTCTGCCCTGACCAATCAGGGCCAGAGACCAAGCAGAGGAGGCGGTGCCCACTTCTGAACCGGGATGGAGTCTGAGCTCCACGGAGTGAGGTCCAGGGCCTAGGGGTGGGGTCTACACAGCCTGCTGCAGTGCTGACAGCAGCAGCTCACTGGCTGTGGCTCTCATGACTCACCGTCCTCGGCTGTGCGCTCACACACAGGCTCACTCCATTCCCCAGTTTTGTTCCGATCAGGAAGAAACCCTCGAACCCGAACGCAGTAAGTTGTCCATGGCTCCAGGTTCCGGACGAGCTCAAAGTCGTACTGAACAGTGACAGCAAACTGGTAACGAGACGAAAATAAGACTGCGCCTCAGCAGTGAAGGGACAGCATTTTTTCTTCCTCATCTTTTTTCTTTCCCCATATTTAACAGTTATAAACTCAGCTTTAGGGTTAAAATAGGAAAAAGCAGGTGCGCGTGCTCTTCCCAGCTCATTCTGGGGAACCGGACACCACTCGAGGGCGCAGCAAAGCCTGTGATGCTGACAGAACGTCTCATGGCCCCGATTCTGTGGCTTAAAGCATCCCAGCTTCTTGTTCTTTTTAAAAGATAAACCCATTTTAATGGGCTGACCCATGTCCCATAAAATTTCATCACTGGTGTCAACCGTGGCGCCTGGGCACGTGATCTGATTTGGAGTGAGGGTGTGTACTGCGGTAACCGAGTTAAAATGAGGTGGTGAAGGTGGCTCCCTAATTCAGCATGACTGGTACCTCCTCCTGAGGCCCTGGCTCACTTGAAGGCCTCTGCTCTGGCGGCTGTAGTTACATTTCATCTCAGCTGAACCTAGATGTAGGATTCATAATTAGTGATGTACTTCTGAATTTGAGAAGCTGAAACAGTTCCCGGCAAATAAAGGGAACTAGGGAGTACACAAAGTGACCACAGGCTTTTTTTTTTTTTAACTTCAGTGATTGGTTATGTTTCTTTTGGGATCTGGGCTGTTTATTTTTTTTATTTTTTTGGTACCAGGGATCGAACTCTGGACCTTCTGCTTGTAAGGCAGGCGCCCGAACGACTGAGCTAAATCCCCAGCCCTAGTCTGTTGATAGCTTGTCAATATATTTTTATTGCATGAGAAATTAAGCTTATTGAGGGCAAGAAATGAATTATTTCTAATGATACATGAACTAGATAGTATAACTTTTGTTGCTGTTGGTTTTTTTTGGTACCAGGGATTGAACTTGGGTCCTTGCACTTGCGAGGCAGGCGGCGGAACCACTGAGCTAAATCCCTGGCCCTGTTTTTGTTTTTTTGAGACAAGGTCTCACTATGTAGTTCAGGCTGGCCTTGAACTCGTTATGTATCCCAGGCTGGCCTTCGAACTCATGGTGCTCCTCCTGCCTCAGCCTCCCAAGTCCTAGGATTACAGACATGCACCACCATGCCTGGCAAATGGTATAGCTTTTAATAAGTCAATTAGAAAGCAATCAAACCAACCAAACCAAAGCAAATGCCAAAACACTGGTCTTTACTGCTAATGTCCCTAAAAATTTACAATGTACTTTTTCAAAGACTAAACTCACAGGTTGATCCCCAAGTGGCCACCAGGCAAGGACATGAAAGGTCCACCTCAGGTCCCCTGGGAGGCTTTTTCTGTCCTCTCACTTCTATTCTACTCAATTTCTAGATTAATCTTCTCACTTTCTCCCATGAGAAAGAAATGGAATTTGCAAAAGCCCTTCATGCTGTTAGTTTAGAGAATTAACCTGGCACTGTCTGGGAGATATTTAAATACTAGCTTATGAAAGGGAACCATATAAACCGGTTATGGTGACACTGCAGGTTCCTTTCAGGGGGCAGCTAAGGAGCAGGTGGCCTTTTCAGTGTCTGCATCATACTGAAGGTTTCTTTCTTCCTTTGTTCCCCACGTTTTTTGTTAGTGCACACTGGTTATACAGGTAAATGGGTTTCATTCTGGCAGATGTGCACATGCGCGTAACATACTTTAATCATTTCCCCCTTCACTCCCTTCGCCCCACTCCCTGCTACATACTGGAGGTTTCCACACAACCTGGCAAAGCGAGAGGATGAATGTGTAACCAGATGCCCGTGATGTGCGTGTGATCCAGATAAGAAGCTAAATATGAAATGAGATTTGCATTTCACGCTTGGTAGAGGAGGCGCTCAGCCATGGGGACTGTGAAACCGGATCCTTATTTAGAAGATACTGTAACCCTGGAAGCCAGTCCTTGGGTCTTATCTTTAGTCCTAGGACTGAGCAGAGACACCTGCACCTGCTAAGTGGTTAGGAAACTAAATATTCTGTATTGCTTTCCAAGGATACATTTCCTGCAGTCTTGATTATAAGCAAAACTGCCTCTTTTGTGAAGGAGGCAGATTTCCTGCATGCCATGGTTTGAACGTACGTGTCCTGCTCCAATTCATATGAAATTTAATCACCGAGGTGATAATATTAAGGTCATGCACTCTAAGAGCCCTCAAGAATGGGGTTGGAGGGCCGAGGATTTAGCTCAGTGGTTTTGCTGCCTGCTGTGAAAGCGCAAGGACCCGAGTTCGATCCCCGGTACCAAAAAAAAAAAAAAAAAAAGAATGGGGTTGGTGACCTTATAAAAGAGGAGGAAGCTGTTCACCCCTTTACCCTTCACCTTATTCTAAGGACACAGCAGAAAACATCCGCTAGGAAGCCGGGACCAAGGTCTCCCTGGACTCTGGGTCTGCTGGTGCCTTGATCGTGGACTTCCAGGGTCCAGAATCATGAGAAATATTGTCTACTGTTTATAAATTACCCAGCCTGTGGTATTTTACTATCACAGCAGAAGCAGACTAATACACTGCATCATTCAATGGAGAGTTTTGGTGGGAAAATTACCTTGATTTGTTTTGGTTATTCAGTGTATGTGCCTATGTTTAATTACATCATCCTAAGACAATAAACCTAGGTGATCTTTTCCTTCCTAACTCTTGAGGATTAACTGATAATACATCTTACATAATAGCTATGTAAGTCAGTTTAGGACCATGAATAGCAACCTGCTCCGAATCACTAAGTTTGACCCTGGATATGTGAAGAGTCCTGGTTCCTCATGAAGGGAAGGGAACCTTAGGAAGTGACCATTATTCCAGGCAGTGGCACAAGTTTACATTTTTCATTTTGTCATCAAATTCCCCAACAATCCCATGAAGTGGGGGTATTCTAATCCCTGTTTCATTAATGAAATACGTTATTATGCCCCTTTTGCAGACCTAGGGAAATCAAGACTGTGATCGCTAGAGACCCATGGTGGCCGAGGCATATTCCAGTCAGGTCTTTTAGCTCCAAGCCTGTGCTTTGAAAAAATTGTTCCCCCAAAGACTGCAACAGGGAAAATGGGTAAGAAAGGCAAAATGTGATACTGTTTACCCAGCATCCTAGGGTGGGGGTGCTATGGATTCAGGGTACTGATCTGCAGTATGCATGTGGCATGGGGGTTTGGTGCTGAGAAACAGCAATCATTCAGCTAATCCCGATTCAGCTGACCCCAACTTCCCTCATCCAGTTGCTGACTCAGCCCTGCTTCTCCTGCAGCTTTCCTCTAAGACAGAAAGGTCAGCTGTTATTGTGTAGAATCCACCCGCAAGTCCGCTTTATATATGTCCCTTGGGAGTCTGGGAAGGTTGAGCCCAAAATACCAGTCATCCTTCAGCTTGGGAAGTTTATAGCTTTGAGAATAGGACCTAGACCCAGACCTCTCCGGACCATGGGCGCTGTCGCCTTGCAAGACCTCACCCAGGTAGACTCCTGGTCTCCTCTATCATCATGGCCTCAGACCGAAGCTGAGCAAAGCATGCATATGATAGGGCAAGCTTACCTTTTCATCAGTGCCATTTTTCCAGAACTGCACATTATAAACCCACGAGTCATAAATCTTCCTCATGGTCCATGTGTAAGGTTCATTCTCAATTTGAGGGGCTAAGAGACGCATCTGTAAAGAATCAGCAAGTGCTTCTACATGTACTACAGGAGGTCCAATAACGGCTAAGCACAAGATCAAAGGAAAAGGACAATCAGAACAACATTTTACAAACTTTATTTCAGCATAAATGTTCACAACTGTGTAGGACAATTAATCTTCTAAAGTACAGTGCTGTTGACAGAGCACTGCTATGACACTGACTGAAGTGGCTAAGAAGGATAGATGGATTTGATTTCCTTAAAGAAACCTAGACAACCTTTATTAATCAAATTTGGTCCATTTATGTTTTTGTAATTTCCAATACCTTTAGAAGTATTCCTACTATATCATTTTATGCTGTTCATAAAGATTGCTTTTTTTTTTGTACCAGGGATCAAACTTGGGACCTTGTTCTTGTGAGGCAGGCACTGGAATCACTGAGCTAAATCCCTGGCCGAAGATTGGTTTTTTTTTTTTCCCTTAAATTCTTTTATCGGTACATTTTAGGTATACAATACGTTGACATTTATCGTTGAATACTCGTACCGGTACATGATGTATCTTGGTTCTTATTTTTCCCCCATTCCCTGTCCTCCCTTCAACCCCTCCACCCTTCCCTAGTTCAAGATTGCTTTTCAAAATTTTATTTTATTGGCTCCTTCTCCTTTTTCCTACTTTTTATGAGCCTAAATTTTCTTTTCCTTGCCGGGCTGGAGGCCAAAGATGGTATTTCTATTATCTTTTCTGGTTACCTTTACACGTTTAACATATGTAATTAACCATGTATTCTTCCAAGTTATGTTTCACCAGATACTCCTGTGACTGCCCCTTCCACTTCCTCTGGATCTCTGGCCAAATGTCACTACCTCATAGACTGTCTCGTCTCACCCGATAGAAAGAGTGGCTCCCATCTCTTCCTGTCCTGTTAGCTTGCTTTGGTTTTCTTGAGAGCCACAGGCACAGCCTGCCATAAAATACCCATCTGTTTGTTTATTATTGGTCTTCTGATGAGAATAGGCATTTTGGTCTTTGCTGTTGTGGTTTCAACACTAACAATGTGCCTGGCACACAGCAGGTGGTCAATAGTCACAGAAGGAATAATAAATGGCTCTGGGAAACTGCTGTTTGAGTCATGTCTGGTATTCTTCTCTGGCCCTGATACTTTTTTGGGAGGTGCTAATAAGCCCCTCTCTACCATTCTAATCTGCTAGTCTGAAAACTGAACGAAACAACTTGTTAGATATTTTCTCAAAGTGAGTCTGAATAGGTTTTGCATGATATCGAATGACTAAAATATATAAACTTCCAGAGGTGAATATCTAATACAAGGCAGGCGTTGCCAAGAGCCCGGACACAGGAGCCTGAGTCTGAATCCTTGCTCTGCCACTTACTACCTGTGTGAACTCTCAACAAGCTGCTTAACCTCAGTTTCTACAGGAAGCATCCTCAAATGGGGATAACTGTAGGGTTTGTTTGTTTGTTGTTTCTTAAGACATGGTCTTGCTATATAGCTTAGGCTGGTCTTGAACTCCCTATATAGCCCAGGCTGGCCTTGAATTCACACTCACGGTGCTCCTCCTGCCTCAGCCTCCCGACTGCTGGGATTATAGGTGTATGCTACCATGCCCAGCTTCAATGCACTTTTAACTTAAGACATTTTCAACATATGATGGCGTTATAGGAATGTAACCCCACTGTAAATCAAAGAGCATTTGTAGTATGTTTTGAAGACTTGGATTATTTGAGTCTGTATTTTTTGTTTATTTTTACAAAGAAACCTTTAGAAAAGATCATGCAACTTTGATAATTTCTGACTCCAGAAATAAGCATTTGTTGTTGTATTTGTTTGCTGTGATGCAACTGGCAATGAGAGGAAGGACACCTGGCTACATCCTCTACCAGAAGGCAGGAACTGTGAGAGCCACGCAGGACAGGGGCAGGGGACTGACAGAAAGACCCCTCCCCAGAGAGAACCCTTTCAGTGCTTCCCCGACTGCTCCTTGGGGCACTGGATGTGGGTTTTGGTGCAGAGGGTCTTGTAACTTCTGAATCCTTTTTAGTCTCAGTTGTTTCCTGTTGGTTTAATGTTTTTAATTCCTGATGTCCCAAATATGTTCGTCTTAGGGCTTCTGGCAAAGCTGCGTGGCCTTTGATCTATCCTGGGAGAGTGGGAAGTTTCCCAGCCAGCCTGCCCAGCCCGTGTGCTGCCGTCAGCGTCCCTCCCTCCTGTCCTTCCCCTGGGCAGGGTGCCTGTCTGCGTCTGGCCTTCCTGCCTTTATTCTTTTCCCTTTCATGTCATATTGCTTTGGTGAAGTCACAGTTCCAAAATGACCGCCCCCCCAATTGCCACCGGAATCCTTCTAGTTCTTCGCATTAACAGCACTGGCCCCCCTCATACACACTCTTGAGGTGGTGAAGTTATTAAACTTATAGTTAATTATCTTATTGATGATACATATATTCTTTCTTGTCTTACCCACAAACTTTTTTTTTTTTGGTGCTGGAGATTGAACCCAGACCCCCAACACATGCTAGGCAAGTGCTCTTCCAATTCACCATATCCATACCCCTTTTAAAAACTGCAGACAGGTTCTTGCTAAGTTCCCCAGGCTAGCCTCAAATTTGCAATCTTCCTGCCTCGGCCTCCTGAGTAGCTGGGATAATAGGCATGCACCACTGTGCCGGACTGCCTGTGGACTTCCCTAAGGTGACAGCTCTCTCTGTTACACTCCCTAATGCCCTTGTGCAAGGCCATCCATTTCACAGGCATTCAAAGAATTCTTGTGGACAGACCAACCACTGTAGGGGGAAACCCAAGACAAGATGATGATATACAACAAAACGAAAAACAAAATAGCTTACTGTCATCCACGGGACAGAAAGTGATGTTCACCCAGTCCGAATGCTCCTCTGCAAGCTCTGCCCTGACTCTCAAGGTGTGGTCGCCATACTTGGAAAGATTTGAGAAATCACATTCTGTGGAGGCAGTGCTCTTGCATACTTCTTGGAATTTCTTATAACTATACAACCAGAAAGACAAAATCACGAGAGCTCTAACTTCAGTCTCCCGAGGCTGCTTGGCATTTTATACCCTTCGTACCAAAGATGAATGGAAGTTAATAAGAGACATGCAAAGTAGTTCTTAACAATCAATCTTGGTGAACAGAATGCATAATTCATATTAGCATTTCCCAAACTGTATGCTATGGGGCCTTACTGACCCTTGGATATCATAAGGCATTTCAAAAATAATATACTGCATGGTCAAATAATTTGGGGGAAACGGAGTTATAAGTATAAAAATAGGTATCTTCTAAAGTTTTGATTTTTTTAGTATCTATTTGCAGTATATAATAATTACATTCCTTGTGGGGAGTTGGCACACGAACATAACACATTTTAATTCTTTTTTCTTCCCTTCCTTTCCCCTTCCTCCCTACTTCCTCCACGTTTTGGTCCCCTTCCCTTTTGCAAAAGATCTCTTAAAAAAGGTGTCTTCACAGCAGAACTTTCAAGGGACTGTAATATCCTAATAAGCATGTGCCTCTCCAAAGAGGAGTTGACTGTTCAACACACTGGATCAAGAAAGCTTCTTTTTTTTTTTTGGTACCAAGGATCGAACTCAGGACCTTGTGCTTGTGAGGAAGGCAGCAGAACTACTGAGCTGAATCCCCGGCCCCCAAGAAAGCTTCTTTCCTTGATTGTGTATTTCTGAAAGCAGTGGGGCATGATTCACGACATACTGATACCCACAGATTAACTAAAATAACCACATTATTATGATTTCAAATGATGCCCTAAAGTGATTAGCATTGCAATTATTCTGGAAAAATTCTAAGGCATTATTACATCGACCTCGGCAGAACAGCAACCCCAACTGCAGCCACCGAAGGGAGGGCGGCAGCAATGACATGTGAAGAAGAAAAAGGATGACATTTGAAGTACCCATTGGGAGTAAAGCAAATCTCGTCTCTAATGACTTCTCCCACAGAGGCCCGAGGAGGTGTAATTAGCTCCACATGAAAAGAGGACCAGGCTCCCTTCCTGGAGGTGCACAGGTTGTCGGACTGGTTCCCACTGCACCTTCCTGTCCAGGTGCCAAAGCCACTTGGCTGCCCCAGAAGTGACGGTGATGGTGATGGTGATAAGAATAATAACAACAGCAACATTAATCGAGCTTGGGGTTTGGGTGTGGAAAGGCTGGAAATGCCTAGCCACACTCAGGTCTGTTTGATTTCAGAGTCTTGGGGACTGTGACACACTTTCCTGCGTTCTTAGTGACATCCGGAACAATCCATTGCAAAAAGTCGGTAGGGACAACTGAGCTCTTATAGTTTGCAATCTGCTTTTTCCATGTAATATACCGCAAACATTTTGTTAATCAAATCAACTCTCCATGGCTGCCTATCATCCCATTATCGGGGAACTCCGGAGGTCATGTGACTGAGGGGTTTTCTCACATGTGTTCATTCTTTGTTTAAGCTAATTTATCAGCTGCCTGACACACACAGCACTTCAAAAGTTGTTTTACAACAACTTCTCTTTCACTAGGTTATTTGTATTGAATTTATAAATATTTTTATCCACATTTAAATAGGTACTAGGACTCAATCCTTGTATTTACACGAAATTATTGGTTATTTCCAAATTGAAATCACCAATCCATACTCTAAAGTGCTCCAGCCTCAAAGCACACATGTTACAGAGAGCTCGCGCTGTGCAACTGCTTGGGCTAAATCCTAAGCAACCATTTATGGAGCCATGCAAGAGCAATCAGGTCTTTCAAGATTGATCTCTTCACCAAGGTTATGCCCAGCATATGCTCTGTTCTCCCTGGAGTTCCTGAGGTTTCAGGAAATGGGGGTCCAGGCACAGACTCGAGGTCAGTCCCACCTCCTGACCCCACACCTTCACCAAGTCCCAGGGACCTCTCTTCTAAAAGACAAACGCCCTAAACCAAGCACTGCTGGCTGCTCTGATGGCAAGTAGGCAAGGCACAGAGCCACAGATAAAAGTTACAGGGAAGAGAGACGGACAGAGGCACTGTGGTGGGTTTCAGTTTGTCGCCTCTGAAACTCACGTGGGAGTCTAGTCCCCACTGTGGGGGATGAAGACGGCAGAAACTTAGTCAATGGGGGTGCTCACAGGAGGGGACTTCTGGAAGGGTTAAGTCTAGATGAGGCCATCAGGGTGGATCCCCCATGACTGAAGCCTGGTGGCTTCATAAGAAGAGAGAGACATGAGTGTACACACGTGTGTTCCCATCTCTCACCATGTGATGCCCCGCACTGCCTTGGGACTCTCCCAGCAAGAAGGCCATCAGAAGATGCAGCCTCTCAGCCTTGGATCGCTACAACTGTGAGCCCAAATAAACCTCTTCTCTTTATGAAGTACCCACCTTCAGGTATTTTGCTATAGTAATGAAAAACTGACTGATACATGAGGAAAGTGATTGATACATGAGGGAAGTTGATTTTCCGTGGTGAAATCTCTATGGTTTTCCAGATGGAGTAGAAAAAACAGAGAAGAAATGATAGAACCATTCAGTACTAGATATGCATCTCAGAAAAAAACAGTTGTAGAATGACCCTTCTTCAATTCTTGCATTCTGGACTGCAGACTGGATGAAAGTCCTGCATCAGTGTTAAAGGTCTTGAACTGCACTCTGTGATGTAAAAGACGATCTTAGTTGTTATGAACTACACATTGAAATGTTAAGGGGCAAAGGGCATGATGTACAAGAGAAAGAGAAAATGTGGCCAATAGTAACAACTGGTGAATCTGGATATGGGATATCTGGAAGATTTTAGTACTACACTCACAATTTTGAAATGTTTTTGTGGTGGTTATGGTGGAGTTTCACCTTGATTGGCTTTGGGATCTGCCCTGGGGACTGGTGGAGCACACTTCTATGTGTGTCTGGGTGGGTCATGGAGGGTGGCCTTGGGGTCTATGTCTGGCCTTTGCCCCTCCTGCTGTGGCACTGTTCCTCTGCTCTGCTTCCTGGTCACCATGAACTAAGCAGCTGTTCTCCACCTGGCCTTTCTGTCCTGATATCTCTGCCTTGAAGCCAGACAACCATGGACTGAAACTGCTAGCAAACTAAACCTCACCTCCTTTAAGTTGTATTAGGTATTGCGTCTCGATGACAAGAAAGCTGTCTAATATGGTTCTGTTAATATGAAATTATTTTAAACCGAAAACAAATTTTTAAAAACCCAACATGTGGACGAGAATTAGCTTATTCTTTTTTCTAAGTCTTTGGCTTCGAAGGCCTTGGGTGTGTTCCTAAAACAATAGCTGGATGGAAGGAGAACAGATTAAGAAAATCTGGAAGGGGATTTTTTCCTGCTTCACCGAAGGGCTTGCCTACTTCCTGTTTCTAAGTCACATGGGGAACATGCATGTCAGGTCATGGGCCTTGGGACTCCAGCAGCTGTTTGTACCTGGCGTGAAGGTGTGTCCCTGTGACCTGTGGCAAATGGTGGCAGTCTGCCAAGAGGAAATATGGACAGGCAGGACAGTCCTGCTGAGATAATTGTCTAGGGTGACAGTCATCCTTCCTTTCAAACAGAAGAGGTTTTGCCAGCTGACAGCTGTCTGACTTTGAGTTTCAGGAGGCAGCTGCAGGGACACTGAGTGCCCACTGTGCAATTCGGTTCATCTGTGGCACTGGAGGGGACAGGTGGCGTAGTACCAAGGGTTTCCCTGACTGCTTTGCAGGCCTTGGTTTTTTTGGACAGCTTCCACTTGTACACTGTTGGCTTCTAGCAATACAACTCCAGTAACTGCAGATGACAGCAACATTTTGTTCTTAAATGACATCAATTGTGACAGATGAGCTAGGATCCACACAGCACTAGGCTACCTCTGGCTAATTCCATCAACCCACATGATAAAATATCCGTATCTACCCACAAACCATGAACAAATACAATAAACTAAAAGAAAGAAAAGATGACCATAAGAATTTCCTGGGCAGAGAGAAAAAGGTCAGCAGGGAGGCTCCTCTGGGCTATCACAGTCACACAGAGGATCCCACATTCCTTCCTGTGACCAGCCCCGGGCCACCATCCTTTTGCGCCTTCCTGCCAAGAGCCTCAAAGACTCACCTATGGTACTGAGCTGTGAATGTCAGGTTCCCTTTGGGAAATGCAGGCGAGTCCCACTGTAGAATGTTCTTGAAATTAACTGAATTCATTCTGACATTTTGAGGAGGTGGCACCATCCCCAGTGCTGTAAAAAATAAAGGAAAAAAAAATTACAACTATTTTTCCTCTAAAAGATTTCCCAAGAAAATGACCACATCCACCAGGAACACAGCTCTGGATCTCCCTCATGGGTAGGGGTGGGGCACATTAGCTAACCAGGCTGAACTTTATTTGAAGAGCCATGAAAAGAAATTTCAGGGTAAGGGACAGGTGGGAAGCAAGAGTGAAGTGAGGACAGGTAATGGGGACCTGGAGGAGGGTGGTGATAGAAAATGCAATGGGGTAGGGTGGGGCTGGCCGACTTCAGACCCATTTCCAGAGATATAAACTCTGGACTTAGTGATAAATTTGACGTGGGGAATTTGAGGTTGCTGTCCATCTCTGGCTCAGGCGCCTGGTACTCCGACTAGAGCTGGGGCAGGAAACCCCAATCCCACTGTAACTGTCACAGATTGGAGATGCTGGAGAGATGGTCTAGTAGGGTCCTCGGGGACACAGCTGGCCTAATGAGCCCAAATTTGGGCTAGAAACAGAAATTATTTTTAAGCAGAAAATTATAAACAAAATAAGAGAGAAGAACATAATCTAACCACTACCTATCACCCAGCTGGTACCAAGAGATACACAAATTTGAAAGTCAGGGGCCTATTTAATGCCAGGCTTCTGCAGGAATCCCCCAGAAGGATAATGTAGAGGAAGGAGAGCAGAAGGCGTGGTCATGCAGGTAGCTACAGCCAGATCTGGTAGAGGATGCCAAGTAGAAGCAGCCTGGGAGAAGGGGAGGGGAGACTCCCAGCACAGTTCACACTGAAGGAGGGAGGGGCCGTCTCTCCATCTGCACCACGCACCTCAGGGGCTCACAGAAAAGTTTTTATTGGGTTTCAAACTTTAGAAGCCATAGAGTTGCGTCGTTGAGGGACAGAATTTAGATTTCAGGGCGCCCAGGACTGAAGAGGACGGTGTGGGAAGTGGCGACAGCAACGGAGACCTTTGTGCCCGGGGGTCTGGCGGTGGCGGGAAGGGGGGAACAGGAAGGGAGCGGTCTCTGGGGTAGGATCTGTGTGTGTGTGTGGTGCGGCCTCCTCTAGACCCACTGGACTGCAGGAGGGTCTAAGGCAGTCAGGGTGGACGCGGAAAACAACTTTAGTTAGAACCCGCCGGGAATCTCCGACCCCTAGTCTGTAGTCTGGACCTTGCGTAATCCGGGTGCTCCGAGGCGGGTGGGGTTCCTGCTCCGCGGCGAGATCAAGCAGTGCGGAAACTCTTGCCTCGAGGCCTGACGTGACCCTTTCGGGATGCAATCAGGGCCCCCTTTTCGGAGATCCTCGCCCAGCTTGTGTGGCAAAGTGCAGCTAGCTGCAACGCCCAGTTCCCAAAAGCGCCATGGGGTTCCCCCTCGGGGACGCGCGGCGCGCACACCAGCCCTCCGGGTCCCCGCTCACCTGACGCCAGCAGGCAACCGCCCAGCCAGCACGCGAGGATCCGCGCCATAGCCCGGAGGGCGCTGGGGGCGCCGCGGCACAGACGCCGCACCCGCAGCGCCGAGCACCCGCCTGCGCCCGCTTCCGGGAACGCGCGGGGGGCCGGGCGAACGGCCGGGCTCCTCCCCCCGCAGGCCCCGCCCCGGCCCCGAGCCCAGAGCCCCGGGCGCCCCAGTTGACAGGCCCAAGTCAGGAGCTGTGCAAGGGGTGATCGGGACGAGGAAGCCGGCCTCCAGCTAAATACACGAAAACTCCATCTCAGGGTTCTGTCTCGGTGGAGGCATTACAGCTGGTCTTATTTTTTTCCTGCCGTTCACGTCCTTTCTGATCTCTTCCAGCCTAGGAGGTGAGTTAAAAAAGCACCCAGCTGCAAGCTCAGTTGGAGAGGATCTTCAGCCTTTCCCCGGAGAAACAACACAAAACCAAGTCCTGTATCTCGAGTGACTTGTTTCTTTCTTGAGACTGCTGAAAAAGGTTTAATTTCCTCTTTCTAAACTCATAAGAGTGGCGAGGTTGGAAATTCCAGGTGTGAGGGGAAAGTACGGCCCTGCTTACGGCCAAGGCCACTGGACAGTTATAGGGGGAGTGAGCGGTCTGTCACACCCCCACACCCCCACACTGCAATGCAAAACAACTCTGAAGACCACACCAAGTTTGTATAAAAAAGTATTCTTGTATCACCAATACACAAACTCCAACCACTATACAAAAATTTTTTTAAAAAGTGCACAGGTGCACATACAGTTAGAGGGAACTTATCTCAAAAGATCATCCTGGAAGTATTCAAAACATGAGCGATGTATTCAGAGGACAGAGAAATTACATCAGTCATCCATTCAAGGTCCTTAAAGTAAAACTGGTATAATTGTTGTTTTTCCCCTTTCGAATTTCCTGTATTATTCCCCGACGTGTGTGTGTGTGTGGTTTCTGAGATACCAGCTCTTGGGGTGAGGCAGGGAGAGAGGACCCCGAACCTTTCATCCACTGGAGAGCCTAACTGCCTGGCAACATTTCCGAGTATTCCTGCATGTTTTCTCCAAGATTCAGAGGATCTTGGTGATTGCCTGGTGCAATCCCTTTATTTCAAAAATGTAGAAGCTGAGGCTCAGAAAGGCTAAGCCCAGAAGCCCAAGGTCCCACAACAAAATGTCAGCAGTCCATGTACTGTTTGGTACACAGCATTCTAAAACCTCGCTTCTCTAGAATCACAGCAACTGTATTTCCACAGAGGCCACGTGGAACCAGCATATAGAACACTTTTTAAATTGCCAAATAGGATCTCTTAAAATATGGCGCTGAGATTTTACCCCTCTCCTTTAATTATCTGCCTGATTCGTTATTAATGCATGTGTTTTCCCCACTTAAACTGGGCTAGGTAAGCAGCTGTGTGTGGAGTTTTCAGAGGGCAGGAATCAACCTAACATCTGAGAGGTGCCCTGTTCTTATGCATCCGCCTCCTCTCCAGCCTGCTTTATTACTCATTCCTGGAGCCTTGTGGGCAAAAGGGTCTCCATTTGCTAAACAATGCCCACAGCTCCTGAGTGTTTTCTTGCCCACTTTCATCCTGGCTCAATTTAATTATTTCTCAAAACGCCTCTGAAAACCCAACAGGGCCTTACTTCCTGGGAAATCAGATGCACAAACGAGACGTATTAGCATCAAGGGAGTGGAAGGGACAGGCTCGACGCTATGTTTCCCATAGTGGAAATTTGCATAGATGAGGTCACCTGAAGAACTGGGCACTCTATAGTTCCCTATTCCTTTCCTCACAGGACACTTGGCAGACCACAAGGCCGCAGATTAGGGCTCCAGGAGAGAACCCTGTAGGTGTTTCTCAGTTCAGGTTAATGAAGTACTTTGGAGTCATCTCATGATATAACCATCCCTGATATCGTCCACGTCAGAACTACTGGTGTCACTTTTATCAGAGAGATCATCTCCAGTCCAGAGGCACTCGGGAGGGAGGTTGGGAAACAACACCTGTAGCTTTTCCCCACCAGGCACTAGAAGGCTGGATTCCATCTCCTGGGGATCCTCTTCCAGGTCGACAACCTCTTCTGGAGGAGGTAACACCAGGGCAGCTTCTTCGGAGTCTTCTTCGTCATCATGGAGAACTCTCAAAAACACAGAATTCAAATCCACATTGAAGGTCATTTTATCCCCAGATCCCCCAGAGGAGTTGCCGTCGTCAACCTTGGGACAGGGGTCCTGGGGCAGACCTTCTGTCCTCTCACTGGGTTCACTTGTGCCTTCCTTCTGCCCTGGGCTGGGCCCTTGGGCTGCAGGGGGCTGGGGCTGGGGCTGAGTCTCCCTCTCAGGCTCCTTGGACTCCTCATCGGCTGGGTCCCCCAGGTGGGAGGCCTGGGAGGAGGCTGGGGAGGTTCGGACCTGGCTGTGAAGCCGGCCTGGGAGGCCATGCATGGTGTAACCCCCGGCAATTGTTCTGAGTGGCGCTTCATCCTCGCTGTCACTTTCATCGCCGTAATTATAACCCCACACTTTCTTCTTTTTGTTGATGGAAATGACCTCCAGGATATTCACTTCTTCTGACAGTGGTAGTTCAGGAAATATCCGGACTACAAAGTTATGAAAAATCTGAATAGGGGAGGGGGAGAAAGAGAGAGACTGTATCACTTGTGTTTGCTCTCTATTTTTTTACATAATGAAACTTAGTATTCACTGCACAATGATGTGGATGGTGACGGTGATGATAACATAAATAATAACTTAAGAGCTGGCAATTACATAGTGCTGACTAGTCGGCAGGCACTGCTCTTAGTATCTCCCACATACAGTTGGCCTCCAAATCCACAGATGCTGAAGTCCTTTAGAGATAATCTCATGAGATCGGCATAGCATCTATGCATATCCATCCCTGTATAGGCCACACTTGCCAATTTGACACAACTTCTCTTCCCTTACTCTACCAAGACCCAGCCTTAGGATCAATTTTTCTACTGGGCTATTTATCTTTTTTCTTACTGAGTCACAGGAGTTCTTTATATAACTATATCACTTGTACGCGACTTATGTGTTAATTATTTACATACATATATTCCCCCCAGTCTTTGATTTATTGCATTATTCTCTTGACTAAAAGAAATTCCGAGTTTTTAATGTAAGAATTATCAATTTATTCCTCCATGGTTTTTTTAATGTAAGAATTATCAATTTATTCCTCCATGGTTTTTGCTTTATGTGTCTGAGAGAGCCTTCTTTTACCCCAAAGCCATACAGAATCAGTTGCATAGATTCTCCTTGACTTATGGTGGGGATATGTCCCAATAAATGCATAGTAAGGTGAAAATACTGCAACTTTAAAACTTACTTAATATACCTAAGAACATTATAGCTTAGTCTAAACTACCTTAAACATGCTTAGCACACTTACGTCACCCTATATTCGAGCAAAATCATCTAACACACAGCCTGCTTTATAGTAATGCATTGAATATCTCCTGTAATTCAAATTTTATAGTTTCCCCTAAATGCATATTGTTTTTGCACCACTATAGTTTTTTTTTCCTTTTTTGGTACTGGGGATCGAACTTGGGACCTTGCGCTTGCAAGGCAGGTGGTGGAACCACTAAGCTAAATCCCCGGCCCTGCACCACTATGGAGTTAAAAAAAAAATTGTAAGTGGAACCATTGTTAAGTTGAGGACCATCTGCATAGCTTTCTAAGATTTTAAAGTGCTCCATTCACATTATAATCTCTAATGTACCTGAAACTGGCTTTCATGTGTGGTGTGAGGCAGGGGTCCAATGCCACTTCCCCCAGTGTATATAGCATTTATTGATAACTCATCCTTTCCCCACCAATTTGCAAGACTCACTGTCATGAACCATGTTTTCATAATGTGAGTCTGGCTTCCTATTTGACAAGGTTTTATGAATACTTTTCAACAAGATTTGATCATTTTCCCCACATTGAGCTTCTACATCATGTTAGACTTCTTTCTTCAATGCTTGAAAAATATTTTTGTTGCTATTATAATTGTATTTTTTTACTACTCTAAATAATATTCAGTTTATTTAAAATTCAAAGCCAGACAAAACGAATCTCTGCTGTTAGTAATCAGGAGAGTGGTTACCCTTGGAGAGGGTTCATGATTGAAAGGTGAGAGAAGGCAGACTTTCGGAGGAGCTAGGCACACTCTCTTCAGCAAGACATGAGTTAATGGGTGTGTTCAGGTTGTGGAGACTGGGCTCTGCACCTAGGATTTATGTACTTTATTTCTTGGAAGTTGAGAACCAGTTTCATGCTTACTTTTTTTTTGGTACTGGGGATCGAACTTGGGATCTTGCGCTTGCGAGGCAGGAGGAGGAACCACTGAGCTAAATCCCCAGTCCTCATGCTTACTTTCTAATTGAATGCTGCTGATTTTTTATGAAATGACTTTGCTAATCTTATTAATCCCCAAAATATATTTCTAGAGTCACGTGAATTCTTTATTTAGACAACTCTATTAATAAATAATCACTGTCTCTGCCCTACCTCAAACTTTAAGCTCCATGAGGGCAGGACTTTTTGGTTGTTTTGTTTACTTCTATATCCCTAATACCTAGATCATGTTGATACATACTAGAAGCTCAATAGGTATTTGTTCAATTAAAAAGAGAAAATACATCATTTAAAAATTTTAACATCTATTCTTGTTCAAACACACACACAAACACACTAGGCCTACACTGTCCTATTTTCCTCTTCCCAGAGTTTTAAATTAAATTCAGGGAAACAATTTTTTTTTTTTTTAAAGTCACATTTTTTGCTTCAGGCTAACTTTATTTATTTATTTATTTATTTATTTATTTATTTATTTACTGGTACCGGGGATCGAACTTGGGTCCTTGTGCTTGCGCAGCAGGCGTCGAAACCACTGAGCTAAATTCCTGGCCCCAGGGAAACAATTTTTGATGGAGAAATACTAAAGAGACACAAGATGACAACATGATAAGACAAGCACAACTGTGGAGGGATATTTAATTATATGGTTGTTGGTAAATTAGAATAAGGTGAATGGGTTCAGACATAAAAAAATATTTCTGAATGAATTATTACAAGTAATACAAAAGGAAAGCAATAGGAGAAATGATAATTGATGGCAAAAGCAGTTGAGTCAAAAGACAAGAGTTTTAGAAGGATGTAAGACCAATATCCAGACTCTTGAAAAGGTTCTAACCAGCAACACAAAGAAGAAATGAAAACAAGAGAATGACTGTTATTGTTAATAATGAAAGTAACACAAGTGAGAGCAACTATAGATAATTGTTACATACGTGGCAATGAACAAAAGTACTGTAGTAAAAATGATTCATCAATGTCAGTGAGACTTATAGGCAGCATCACCACTGGCATTATAAATTAGTTATAATATTCTCCTATAAGATAAATCTGTGTTGTATATGTGTTACAGTGAAGTGATCCAAAATAAAAGATAATCTATATAAAAATTTCCATTGCGTTATTCATAATGGCCAAAGGGGGGAAAAAAAGACAAAAGGGGGAGAAATGATAAAGAAATCAACCTAAATGTCTCAGCTGGGGAATGGTGAAATCATACATTAATAATAATGAAATTCTATGTAATCATTAGAAGTAATAGGTGGACAAGAATAAAGAGAAAACACAAAACACACAGATACATTTATAACTGAAAAATATGTTTTCAGGGATAGAAAAGGCAGCCTGAAAAAACCCTGGTGTTTTTGGAACATGAGGTTTTCTTCTGTGAAAATATTTAAGTATATAATGAAAAATTTAAAGTTAAAAAAAAGACAGAATGTTTAAAAAAACTACATACCAAGACTTTGGGAAATTCAGTGTGTAAGCATACATATCCAATCTGTCTCAGTGTTAAGATGATGCTTATGGCCACTGACACAAAAATCACAATAACAATTACTATTTTGACAGATTTTGATGACCCTGTTGATGAGAAAATAAATGAATTTATTTCAAAAGAAATCCAATAAGTGATCACAGATAGGAATAAATGCACATTGCTCCGGCATTACAAGGTGATATTGAGGAAATACAATTTTGGGGAGAAAAATAGTTTTAGGGATCATGTCACTCAGGGTAACTTGAATCCTTGTGTTCCTGGACCATGTTCACTCATATTTGGCTCAGAGTAGACTGTTTTCTTATTTCCTTAGAGCAGAGTTGTTATGCCAATGTTGCTGGTGCCAAAATGGGACCCCAGAGAGGTAGCACTTTCATAGGAGGGGTCACCCCAATAGGCATCAGGTACCAGCACCAGCCCTGTGTGCCCACTGACTGGATCACTTCCTCAGGTGGACTCTGGGGAGTCCTTCCTGGGGCCCAGAACCTCCACTGGGATTGGTTAAAGACCCTAGGTTCATTCTGAGCTAGTTTGTTCTGACACCCTCTGCTCTTGCAGAACCTCTGTCAGAACATTTGTTTGCTTGGATTTAGCCTTTTTTCCCTACACTCTTCCATCATCTGAATTTGCCCTTTTTGTTTCATTCTCCTGATCACTGCAATCTTACCCTGTTTAACATAAGTTCTATAAGCATCTGCTCAAAAGACCCCAAAGGTAGGAGGTACTCTTCTTCCCCACCCGACAGAGTGACAGGGTCGGGGGAACTTTCTAGGATGTGTCATGGCCTCACAGGGAGGCCCCAAATAACATACCTCCCGGTTCCTAGGCCAGAAGGATCTTTATTGGCTCATCTGGGAAGACACACACAAGGAGTTACCACCCAGTGTCTTGAGCCTCCTCAGGTATGTTCTATCAATGTGCAGGATGGCCCAGATATGGTGAGGGGACCTGGTCTTGGGGTCATCAGTCGTGGAAACCACCTCCATGTGCAACACATAAACTAATCAAAAACACAGGTCCTATTGGTTAGCAAAGGAAGTGACAATTTTTGGGAGAAGAGGTATCTTCACTAAAATAAATAAAAAAGAATAACCAAACCAAAGACAGTTTTATATTCCTAAATAATGACTAAATAATGACTTTCTAAAGACTAAATAATGGAGAGTAATGCAGGTGTGTATTTTTTTAACAATAAAATAGAGCAGTACCTCAGTTCATGAACTTAATTCTTTCCACAATTCTGGTCGCAAACCAAATTGGATGAGAAGTGAATCGAATTCAGTGATTAGGCTCAATGCTGATCCTTATGGGAAATTTGGTTCAGTTCTCATCCAATTTGGTTTGTGACCCGACATGGTGGAAAGACATAAGTTTGTGAACCAAGGTGGCACTGCATATTTAGCTTTTGCAAGGTAAAAATTTTCCAGTTTATACTCTCTGATGTAATACTGTAGCCACGATGGCTGGTGATGGCTGTTTAAATATAAATGATCACAATGAAACAGAATTAAGAGCCAGTTTCTCCATCCCTGTAGCTCTATCTCAAATGTCCATGTGAGGCTCGTATTAGCATAGCTGCAGGAAGGTGTGGAGAAAGGAGAGCCTCCCCAAAAAGCCAACAAAGCCATTTGAAGGCTGGCCTTAGCCAACCAGGAACCAAAATCTGGCCTCAGCTTTTCAAGTCGTTCACCTCAAGGGTCCATCATCCTCTCTGACCTAGACTGTTACTATTCTTCCTTTCTTCCTTTGCTCAGTTCACAACTGTCCTGCCATGCCAGGCCCACTTCTACCTTAGGGCCTTTGCACTTGCGGGATCCTCCTTCTGGAACTCTCTCCCCTGATATTTCAGCAAGACTCACTCTCTCCTGTATTCCTTTCCCACTATCTCGGTATCAAATAACCACAAAGTCAGTGGCACAAAACAACACAAATCTATTATTTTTCAATTCTGGAGACCCTAAGTCCAGAATGGTTTTCACTAAGATAAAATCAAGGTGTTGGCAGATTGCATTTCTTCTGGAAGCTACAGGGGGAAAGTCCACTTCCCCACTTTTCCTACCTGTAGAGGCCTCTTTCATTCCTGGGCTCATGGCCCTTCTTTCATCCTCAAAGCCAGTTTTAAAGCCTCTCCCATTCCCCCAGCCTTTGACCTCTACTTCTGTTATCACTGCTCCTTCTCTGACTCTGAGTCCTCGATCTCCTCTTTCCTTTATGAGGACCCACATGCTTAGCTGGGGCCCACCTGGGTGACTCAGGTTCATCTTCCCCATCCCAAGATCCTTATTTGAATCACAACCACCAAGTCCCTTGGCCACATTCACATACCCAGGATGGGTGGGGATTACTCCACCTACCACACCTCCCTCCCGTCTTCACTTGAATGCTACCTCTCTGGAAAACCTTCTGTGGCCATCAGTGGTCTCGCCCATGTCCCCTTGACCAGTCATTGAGTGACTCCTGTGCTACTGTGCACATCCGTGACACATCTGAGCTGCTCCTTCTCTAAGGTTGGGCTTCCAGGGGAAAGCATTTTGCCAGACCTTTAAGATAAGATCCTTGCCACCCCTTATCAGTCTGCCCGGAGACTGCAGTGTCTACTGCTGAGTCTAAGTTAACACTGGCCTCAGGCTGATGTCCCTGATGAACCCTCAGCAGCACAGCTGTCTGGATCTAGAATCTGACTAGTCAGGGGTAGTTCAGAAGGCAAGGAGGCAGTGAGAGAGGCCATGTCATCTGAATTGTTTGGCTTCTGAGTTTCAGACAGCAAGAACCCAGATAGTGAGGATAGGTGCACCTAAACCATCTTGGGAAATGACAAAAGAATGGAACTGACTTGATATGCAAAATGATGTTCAGGCCAAGTAAAGACAAACTGACTTGACTGCCTGCCTCTGCCAGGCTGAGTCTTGCAAGTGGATCAGAGGAAGGTCAGGGCAGAAAGCCCATCCACGCAACGCACACTCACTTTGGAAGAACTGCAACCACCCAGGGAGCAACTCTGGGTGTCAGCAAACCCTCGTCTGCTTGTCACGTTCCTACCTGGAGTGTTTATTGTACAGAAGAGTTTTGTTTGTACAGCAGATCTGATATAACACAAAATCACACGGCTCCGGTCTTTGTCACTGGCTCTGGGTACAGAGCTGTAAAAACTCATGGAATTTCCTGACTGACGGCAGTGTCTTCCAGTTCCAAAGCCCCATGTGGGTGGGGATTCTTATAGATGGAATGACCCTCCAGAACTGTAAATGCCACTGTGACAGTCTTAGGAAGTAGGACTTTAAGAGGTATTGGGGTTGCAGGGCCTCTGCTCTTGTGACTGTATTAATACCATTGCTGTGGGAATGTCTTTGATCCTATGGAAGTGGCTTTGTTATAAAAGCTCTCCAGCTCCCCCTCTCAACATGTAATGCCGCCAACATGCTACAACATAGCAAGAAGATCTTTCCATCTTGTACTTGACAGCTTCCAGAACGGTGAGCAATAAACCTCTGTTCTTTGTAAGTTACCCAGTCTGAGGTATTATGTCATGGTTGCAGAAAATGGACTAAGAAAGAGGCTATATCGAGTTGATGCTAAGGATGTGACTCCCACAGCGGTGGGGGGAGGCGGCTCAGTGGCTTCAGGATGAGGGCTCATGGACAGAAAAGTGAACCATAGGATTTGAGGGGTCTGTATTGGGGGGGGGTTAAGTCAGTGTCAGAGATAAAATGAATTGTTGGACATCTACTTGGAGTCAGAGAACTGGTGTTAGAACCTAAGTATGTAAATTTATATTGGGTTTATGTTTTTGTAAGAGCTGTAGGCATAAAGATTCTATATACAAGTTTAGGTTTCCCCTACTTAATCAACATTATACAAACACCTCAAGTGAAAGCTTTGACATACTTTTCCTTTAGAATCAGTATGCGCATCACTGGGCTTTGAGGATCACTGAGAATAAAGTCACAGTCTGCTGTGGCTACAGCTAACACTGAGCATCATTAGTCCAGATACTCTTTGGGGCAGCTCAATGAATCCACAAATACTTGTATCACTTAAAAGTCCTTTCCTTATAAATCTGACCATATTTTTACTGTGGTCAATCAAATATTAAAGAGACTTCCCTTGGGGTGGGCAAACTCAGAAGGGCTTCTTTGAGGGAGATTTTCCTTTTTGGTAAAACAGGGGCAACCCAGTTACCTCCCCAGATAATAATGGGCAGAGAAAGCCCTAAGCTTGCAGGTTCTCACCACACATTTCTGCATATGGAGGAAGGTTTTGGGTCACTTGTGTTCTGGTGTCATTGCAGGAGTTGGGCTTTGTGTCCTCATTAGTGACTGTCTCATCTACACTACCAAAGTTCCTTTTCCTTTTGCAGGTAGGGCCACAGCTCCTGCCAGGCAGGCCAGATCTCAAAGCAACACCCAACCTAAGATTCCAATGCCTCTACATGCAGTAGCTTCAAACAACTTTGCATCTTCCAGTGATTGGCTTGAACTGCAGCCACCCAAGAGCACACAGCACTGCATTTAATCCTGATTCCCCAAATTAAAAGTGTTCCCATTTCAAAAAGGCATATTGACTTTATAAAGGTAGATCATCAGAGTGTCCTTATGGCAGAACAACATAGCTGTGCGCACCAGCTGGTGATCACTGGAAAACATCTCTGGATGTGCCTTTATTAGAAACACCTTTAGGGTGCCATGAAATTCAAATTGTTTTCTTTTAATAGGTTTTTGTGTAGGTAAAAATATGAATTTTCAAAAATTAACATACCTGATTCTTGGGCAGGCTGAAGGAGGACACATTTTAAGGGAGGTTTTGTTATTGTTCTTGAACTTCTTGGCTCAAAATAAACAGATATGCAGTAGTTTGTGTTTGGAATTAAATTGTTAATGACATAGCTGAAATTTCCACTAAAGCTTCCACTTATTTTGGGTTCATGCTGAAAAAAGAAAAAAAAAGTAAGACTATAGTGAGAATTTCATCTAGAGGCAGGCCATAAGAAATTATTTGGGGTTCTGTCTTCTAAGCCTAAACAAGGTTAGAAATATCACAGCCTTGAGAAGAAGGGTTTATAAATTACTTGGGCCCAGCAGTTATCACAAAACTACATGCATTTATACACAGGTACCTACACCTATCTTAAAACCATGAAATCTAGTCTGGCAAATTTATTTCGTATATGAAGAAGTCTCAAGAGGAACAAAGGTCTCTGTGATGTCATTTTTACAAAATTATTTTATCTCATTGACAATGGGGATCTAGTTTACACTTTTATAAAGGACTTTCTTGTACACTGATTCCTTTAACTTTCAAAATCATTGTTCCGGTTTAGATCTAAAATGTCCCAAAAAGTCGTATGTGTTCAGAGATGAAGGGCTTTGGGGAAGAGATGGAATTTTGCTGGCTCTAACTTCACTGAGTGGAGTAGCGCTCTGATGACTTTACTAGCTGAATGGGTTTATTAGGAGATAGCATCTAACAGAATGGAGCAGGTTGAAGGGTATATTTTGTCTCCAGCACCTTCCTCTTGGGCTGTTTCTTACTCTGCTTCCTGGCTGCCATGAGGTGGTCATCTTTCCTTTGCCATGTCCTTCTGCCATGATGATTGTGCCTCACCACAGGCCTAAAGTAATGGAGCCACTGACCATGGACTGGAACCAGAACTCCAATCAACTTCTCCTCCCTTTCGCTGTTTTGCTCAGGTATTCTGTCACAGCAACGCAAAGCTGACTAACACAACCATCTAGGCAATATCTCCATTCTACAGATGAGAAAACTGCAGGCCAAAGTGGCCACGGGACTTGTTCTAAATCACAGAGCTTGTAGATGTCTAAGACATCTTGCTTTTCCTTCCCCTGCAGTTCTGTTACATTTGAAGAATTACAAAGATAAAGCTGGGTCCAGTGGCAGAGGCCTGTAATCTCAATACACAGGGAGACTGAGGGAGGAGAATCACAAGATCGAGTTCTGCCTGAGCAACTTAGCAAGATCATGTCTCAAAATAAAAAGCAAAAAAGGCTTGGGATGTAGCTCAGTGGTACAGCACCCTTTTGTTAAGTCCCCAGTATTTTTTTTTTTTTTTTTGGTACCAGAGATCGAACTCGGGACCTTGCACTTGTGAGGCAGGCACTGGAACCACTGAGCTAAATCCCCGGCCCAAGTCCCCAGTATTTAAACAAATTGTTTTCTATGAATAACAACTTTTTAAAAAAATCATGTTTTATAGTTTCCAAAATACATTTTACTAGCAATTTTATTTCTAGCAGTCCAATTACAGCCTTTGGTAATCCTGTGTTTCTACAAGTCTCTGTCTGGAAGGATGGGGAGCTGTTAAACGGATTCACAAGCAACAAACTAGAAGGTCATGCATGGAAATGAGTAATGAAAGGAGAATGGACTGGACTGGACACCGCACGGCAGGAAGGCTCTCACCTTGGGTGGAGGAGCACCGTGTGGCTGAGGGTAGGACAGGTGAGCTCTGCGGGACCTTGAGCGAGTCTGTAAGGCTGACTTCCGGTGTCACAGCACAGACAGAAGCTCCACCCTACAGTTCCCCTCTGCTATGTTCTTGAGAACGTCCCTCAAGGGTTCATGTGCTGAAGTTTAATCAGTAGTGCTCGGTACAAGGGGACTGAAACTTAATTGACTATGGGGCTCAGAGGTGGGGCCTCTGAAAGGTGATTAGGATTAGATAAGGTATTCAGGGTGCAGTCATGACTGAATCCTGGTGGCTTTCGAAGAAGAAAGTGAAAGAGACCAGAAGAGACACATGTGATCCCTGGCTCTCACCATGTGATGCCCTGTGCCATGTGGAGACTGACAGCAAGGAAGCCATCACCAGATGCAATCCCTGGGCCACGGACCTACAGAACCATGAGCTAAAATAAAACTTAAAAAAAAAAGTATGCAGTCTCAGCTGTTTTGTTATAATAACAGAAAACAGACTAAGACATGCTTCCCCCAACCCCCCCAGATTGAAACCAGGGCTTTTGCAATGAGGTACATTCCTGGCCCTTTATTTTATTTAATTTTTTAAATTTATTTTTAGTTTTTGGTACTGGGATTGAATTTGGGACCTTGCACTTGCGAGCCAGGCAGCGGAACCACTGAGCTAAATCCCCGGCCCTGGCCCTTTATTTTTTGAGACAAGAACTCATGAAGTCACTAAGTTGCCCAGGCTGGGCTGGGATTACAATTATATACCATGTCCAGCTGAGACATACTTCTTTAGGTATCTGTGCTGCATACACTACACCCTTCCCCATACCTGGGAATGCAGTCCCTGCTCCCAGTCTGGGCCCCCTTTCATGGGCTCTCATGATCCCACCTACTTTCAGCCACTCCAAGATACAGCTCCAGGAATCTCCCTCTGGAGCATTTCCTCTGCAGGTGAATATGCTGTAATTTCTGCCATAAAAAGTCCCTCTGTGACCCCATCTTCCTCTCCAGCTACCACTGTACATCCCTCCTTCCCCTAACAGAAAAGCTTCTTAGAAAAGGTAAGCTCTCCAATTCTTCTCCTTTCTCTCTTTCTTGAATCCATTCCAATAAGACCTCTGCCACATGACTCACCAAAGCTACTCATCTCAAGGGCCTGGGCTCAGAGCATTCAACACACACCAGAAGTCAGTGGCTCCCAGGACATCCCTTTAGCTGGGAAATCCCCCTTGAATTCCACACTTGGTGCAGCAGCTCCTGTCCAAAATCTCCTCCTAGAAGCCTGACGGGCACCTCACATTTAACATGTCCCAAACTGAGCTGCCTTCCAACCTCCACGCACCAGCTTCCTCCGTACTCTTCCCCGTTTTAATTCATGGAAACTCCAGTGTTGGAGGTCTACCTTCTCTCTTTCTCTACCACCCTTTGTGCCCAATCTACCTGAAAATATTGTTTTCCCATCATTATTTTAGTAAAATAAGCACAGAATTTAGTTGCTTTTCATTACCCCATCGCCATGGAGGGGTCTAAGCTACAAGCATCTATTGCCTGGAATATACCAGTAGCTTCCTTTATTTTCTTGATTTAATTAAAATACCTCTTTTCTTCAATGCAGAAGTCTATTAACTATAGTTTTTCCTCTTACAGCATTGTCAATATTCTAATAAACATGTCTCATTTTAGAAATAATAATCTAAAACAGAGCAGCTAATGCTCTGAATAAGAGACATGGTTAAAATATAACAGTTAATGACATCCAACAGAGTTGCTGAGTCCCATAAACTTGTTTCTCTCTTGTTATTTTTGCTCCCTCTTCCTGGGCTGCTGGTCATAATTCATGGGGAGAATTTCATAAGAGAAAATGATACTAATTACACAAGTTGTCACCAGCTATGGAGTTATTACCATCCTAACAGTGTTTTCACTGCTGTTCCAACTTCCGATTCTGCCCATTCTGATCTCTCCTGAACAACACCAGCCAGGCTGCGGTGTTAAGCCTTGTGTCCTCCAGTGGCTTCTGCCCTGCCAGACTCACAAAGTCCTCCGAGGTCTGGCCTGCTCTCTGCTCTGATCTCACTTCCCCTCTTCTCCCGACTTGGTCACTCCACTCCAGCCACCTCTGTAGTTTCTCAGACCCATTGGGTCCACTCCAACCCTGGGGCCTTTGAACTTCCTGTGGTCTCTGTTTTGAGATGCCCCTGCTCTGGTATCTTGCAGGCTAGTTTTACTTGCATGGATTTTATAATTGGCAGGAGGCTTGGCAAACAAAATGCTACTACAGAAGGGCCCACTGGTGGGTGCATCTGGTCCATTTTCACACATTCTAGCCTCGTGAGTGATGGAGCCAACAAAGATCCAGATGTGTCTGCTACCAGGGTCACCTGGAGGTTATGGAAACTGGGTGGGTCCTTAGAGGAAATCAGAAAAGGACAGAACTGCAGGAAAACACTGATTTTATTTATTTACTTAATTTTTTTTTGCTGTGTCAGAGGCAAGTAGACAGGTTTTCATACGTGGTACAGCTAAGCCACCCTTTCAAAGAAATCTCACCTTGGTGTGCTGGGGTCTGGCTGCTCTCTCTGTCTGTATCACTCTCCTGTCTACACCACACAGTTCTCTCTCTCCCTTCCTTATCCCCGGGTATTGTGCGAGTGACCTGTTTCCTTAAAGACAGAGCCACTGGGCTCAATCAATATATTTCTGCAGAGAAGGAACCACAGAGACTTCTTTCCTAAACTCAGGCAACACTGACAGCCAGGGCTTTTCATGTGAATTGTTCAACTACATGGTTCTTTTTTATAAGAGAGTAGATTATATCCATGGCCAACTCAGAACACTTTTGATCCCAGCAGTAGAGACTACTTACCCTCTTATCAATGTCCTCTGAGTGCTCCTTAATGATGAGTGATGCCTGATCGTGTAGGTCCTCCCCATATATTGTGGGAGCCACAGGTGGAAACTGCACCACCACATTAATGTGGTCTGCAAAGCCAATGATCCCAAAGTCTGGTGGCTCAAAAGACACTGTTTAGGAAACAAAGCCAGAAAGGAGCCCCAACATCAGTCAGTGGTTGCATAACAACAATGCTACCTGTTGTCAGGATCTAATCTTATTTCTTTTAAAGAACAAAAATTATTTTTATTCTGCCTATGATCTTAGTTATAGTCTGTTATTTTTATTGTAGTCTTGAAGAGCTAAGATAAAGAAAATGAACCATTTGCTTTACATCACTACAGCAAATTGACAGATTTTGGGATAGAAGTCAGCAACTCTGAATTTTCAGGCTGTACTCTAGACACAAAAATTAAAAATAACTTATTTTCATAATGTGTTAATAATACATAATAGAAACTCATTGTCAAAAATACAGTTAGCAATTGTCTTTGTAGTTAATCATTTTTTATCTACGCTAGATGGACCTAAATACCTAAAATTCATACACAGTTACTAAACTAGGATATCTATTTGTAAATACATGTACATGTAACATGTATATACACATATACATATAAACTCAAAGTAAATAATTCTAGCTCATATGGTGTCACATGGCATATAATTTCATTTAACTACAATTCATAAACATTTTAATACATAGTTACATATATCAAGGACTAGCAAATTATGGGCCATGAGTTGGCCTTTTGCACAATCTGCATGCTTAGAATGGTTTCTCTCTTTTTTTTTTAAGGATTGCAAAAGCAAAAAAAAAAAAAAAAAAGAAAGAAAAAGAACCTCAAAAAACCAAAACAGCATGGGACAGAGATCAGATGTCCCACACAGTCTAAAATGTTTCTCTGCTGGCTCTTTACAGAAAGACTACCAACCCCTAACTTACACTGTAATTTTCATGGTTAATTCACTTTCACTAAGTGGCTGAACTGTGACTTAACTGATTCACTATTTTTAACATTTAGATTGTCTCTAATTTTTCTGAATGGAATTTATGTATTATCAAGTATTTGTGGTGCTAAATCTTGGCATTTGTCCTTAACAATTTCTAGGACAGGTTACTAAAGAGGTACTCTTGACTGGAGTGGGCCCATGTTAAGGGTCTTGGTACATACTGCCTAACATCTTCAGAGGGACTATACCAAAGTTTACTCTATATTCTTGCCAATACTGAGTCTCTGTATTTTTTCATCTTTATCATTTGAATCATGAAAAAGGCCTCCTATAACTCAACAACCTAAATACCATGACTCGTAAGCCGTGTCTTCCTTTCCATCTGTGTACAAACACACAGCTGTGACGCCATATCCTAAACACATACCACTGATTGATTTGCCACAGTGGGATTCAGCCATCACCAGTCTTTGACAAAGCACAGAGGTGCGGGGCACAGCCGCACCTGGCTTGTAATCGGGCAGTGAAGCAGAATTGGAGTTTTCTGTTTATTTTTGAAACAGGTTAGAAAATGGGAAACTGAAAAAGCAATGGAGCCAGAACTGTTAATGCAAAGGCCTCTGGGAGTGGCTCCAGGCACAGGGAAAGGAGAAAAGAAGCAGGCCCAGCCTTGGGCTCCAGCCTCTGCCTGTGAGCTCTGGGCCCCGTGTGTGCAGCCTGGGTGCTCATGAGTTACAAGCAGGAGCAGCAGGGTTACAGTCTGGGGTGGGGTTGCAGGAGGAAGGCAAATACTGCCCCAGAGTGAAGTGACAGACGAGATCCAGGCCACCAGAGTTCCACTCCCCACTTCCTGTTAGGCTATAAAGTGACAAGAAGGGCAAGCACTACTGCCTGAAAGCCTGCTCTATGCAGATTTGGGGCAATAATCTGCATTCATTCATTCATTCATTCATTCACTCATTCCTTCATTCAGGATAGGGTTTTGCTTCATACTCCGGCCTATCCTTGAACTCACTATGTAGCCCAGTCTGTCCTCAAACTCCCCTATGCTGGAATTACAGGGCGTGCACCATCATGCCCGGCATAGGTATGGAGCAATAATCTGTAAAGAAGACATTATGGCCCTACTTTTCAGACAGGAAAGCTGAGGTGGAGAGGAGCAAAGTAACTCGTCCCAGGTACAGAGTTAGGAAGTGATGGGGCCAGCTGTGAGGCTCCAGCTCTAAATCTAAAACACCTCTGCAGACTTTCCCAGTCATGACGAACAAATGATGATCTTTGTTTCTCATTTGTCTTGATATTTTATTCACTTTTATTAATACATGATGTTTACAGTTCATAATGATTAGAACTCCCTGTGATAACAGGGAGTTGGTGTATGCACAAAGACGTTAACTGTTTCTGTCTTTTTTCATCCCCTCCCCTTCCCCTCCTTCCAACTCTCGACCCCCTCCCCATTTGCAAAAGCTTGATTTTCATCATTTTTTCCCTTCAATCTTTTTTCCTTCCCATCCTAGCCCCTCCCTCCATTTCTTGTTCCATCCATTTGAAACAGATCTCCCTACTTTCTATTTATCTGTCTTCTATTTTACACACACACATTTTTCTCTCTTTCTCTCTGTGTGTGTAGATATATATTTAGTTTATCATATAAGAAAAACCATGTGGTATTTAAGCTTGTATGTCTAACTTATTGCACTTAATATATGCTCTCAACTTATATCCATTTGCTTACAGATGCTTCAAGTTTATCTTTATTATGGCAGAATAGGACTTTGTTGTGGATAGATACACATTTTCTTTATCCATTCTTTGTTAATGGGTATGTGGGCCCTTTTTAAGACTTAGCTATTGTGAATTGTGCTGCTATAAACATCAGTGTGCCTGTAGGATGTCTTCAACTCTCTCGGGAAGATACTCATGATGATCTTGATGAGGATGGCAAAGTCAAGGAATAGTGATCAACTCACAGTTCAAGGCCGTGATGCTACCCAGGCACTGGACCAACAGTGTCTCCCCTCTGAATTCTTCCACCATGGGGATGTAGGTCTCATGCATGTCTTGCCACACATTGGTGAGGTCACAAAATGATCTGGTGATATTTGTACAGTTCTCAACAGTCTTCATACTTTCCTTTTTACTTTTGAAAGAAATGGAAAAGGGAAAACTTTAGCATTTATGGAACAAGAATCTGTTTCTGTGTCTACTTCTTTATTTCTTTAGGGCTCTATCTGGGTATCACAATATCAAACTATCTTCCCTATCATCTTATTTAAAAATGGAACACTCTATGCTCTCCCTAATCCTACACTCTCAATCCCTCCTACCCTTCATTTCTCTTCATAGCATTTACCTAACCTGACACTTTACACTTTTACTTCTTTAATGAGGTCTCCACCTACTTTCAGAATTTCCATTTTCAGAGGGTAGGGACTATACCTCCTGGTATACTGTAAGTCAGTAAATATGTGCTGCATGAATGAATGAATGAATGAACGAACACTGGGCTCATGGTAGAAGCCTGAGACTTTCCCCCCTCTGTCAAGAACAATCACTGCTTTCCTTGAGACCCCCTCCTTCTCCGCCCGAAGGTCACATGGTCCGGTCCTAAGCCAGGCCTATGCTAGTTAGGAACAACACAAACATCTGCTCTACCATGCTATGGAAGAATGTGACCACTCAGTGCAGAAGGAAACTTTAAGACTCTAGCAGGTCAAAGAGAAACTCATGACTGACCCTCCCTGGGCCTGCATCAACAGATATAAGCCAAATAACCAATAAGAGGACACTCCACAGGGCTACTGAACAAAGAATGACTTATCTATGGCATCACTAATCCCTGAGACAGCCCCTCAGGGTGCACATTAGCTCAGAGAGGTTGAGCTCCATGCCGAATTTGAAGCTGGTTAGTGACTACTTTGGGCTCAGGCCTGTCTTAGACTAGGCCAGGGAGCTTTCTGGTGTCCAATGTGCCTCCATGAGTCAAGAAAAGTGAATATAAACCATTGGTGTGGTCCACAGACCTTTGGATCTTTGGAAAACACAAGACTTTTAAACATTCAGATGGACTAAATTAGAGAAATCATTAGCAAAACCACACAATTATTTTGCCAGTGGGTTCTGACCTGTAGAAATTGGCTTTATTTATAAATACAAAATAGTTTTGGATTATTAAAGTATTCAATTTAATTGAAAATGGATGAGTATTTTGCTTTTGGCATTTTATGGTTCTGCATAAGAAATGAAGAGACAGAGAACATAGAAGAAAGATAATACCTTCAGCAAGAGAAAAATGGGACATCAACCAACCTCATGATTGTGTACTGGAATGTAGAGTGAGTTGGTACAATGGAGCGGTTTTTCAACTCCCAAGATAAGATCAGCTGATATTTTCGAAATGCCAACTTGAAATCACAATTTTCATCTGCAGATTCTAAAGAGAACAGGAATGGGGGAAAAAAGCATTGACATCTGGAACCCAAAGACCTCAAACCCCAGGCTCCAACACGGAAGGCTTCTGGATAGCCCTGGGGTCTGAGAAACACAGGAAGTCTGCTGGGCATGGGAAGAAGCTAGTACTGTTCATTAATGAGCAACATGTTATGAGGGCAGGAGCTTAGGAAACAGGAACTCAGCACTTGGTAAGCAGAATGTGGACAGAAGGACTTCCTCAGTTATCACTCCACTCTCTCAACTCAGCTCAGCCCACAGCAGGCTTTCCTCCCTCTGGACTCCTCACTGCATTTTTTCCCTTGCTCACGGAGAGGAGGAGCACACTGGGCCCCGACTTAGCCTTTTATGCACTTAAGCCCCATAACCATGCTGAAGTAGGTGCTATTCACAGACCCATTTTCCACACTGAGTTTCCCACACTCAGTCGAGTGTACAGTATTATGCACTGGGAGCTGGTAGTGACAAATGAGGCACTAATGCTCTACCTGTCAAATTCTCCCTTATATGGTTAAATTTTCAGAGCTCATCTAAGTTTCCTGCGGTTAAGACCCAGGCCTTTGCTTTTTGATCTTCATGCCCCATGGTGTATCAGAAGGCTAAGCACACATTCAATGCTCAGTGAGGTTTTGTGGGCAGATTTATATATGCAGGTGAGAAGTTTAGTGAAAACTTATTTTTCCTTATCTGGAACCAACAGGTAGAAAAATGTAAAGAGAAATTTCTGAATCACTTTTTGTTTGGGATAATAGGTGTCTCCTTATTTTCTGTTAGTGAGAATGTTAAGAGCTTGAATATTCTTTCAAGGGGTTTAAAAATTATGTCCAGTGTTAATTTCTTAAAATAGTTTTGGGAGATAATTATGAAAACCAGAGTTAGCTAATTTTAGCTCCTTTTATAGAAAAAGGACTCCAATAAAATAGATAACAGATGTGAGGTCAGAAATAAAATTTTCCATATTTTATGTGTAGACAGTGACCCCAATATTTTGAATCTTATTCAAAATTTAACCGAGCCAAGAACATCTCTTACCAGGGATATCATGTGAAGCATCCAACGCTAGGCTCACATATACTAGGAGGAAGAAAAAGAAGTTAAGAGAAGCAACAGTGATTTATCTGGGCTCAACTTAAAATGGCCACTCTCAGTTTGCATTAATTAGTACATTAATCATCACATGCATTAATATTGCATTGAGATTTTCTTGTGCTAACAAAAAAGCACAAGCAAATAGTTCTTAGGTGACATCAGTACCATGAGCACCTGGTCATAGGATTGCATCTGGAATGGACCCAAAATAAGATCCACTTAGGAGATGACACTAAGAAGCAGGATTGGGTTGGTGGAGGGAATGTCCGAAGAAGCAGGTATCTATCTGAAAAAATTCCTCAGAATATAAATAAGCATGTTGCTAATAAATAACTTTCAAAGGTAAAGACATTGACCAAGGGTGAAGGAGGAAGAAAGAGTGTTCATGACGGGGACTGGTGAGTCTCATCTCCTTGGGACAGTGTGGGTGGGTGGGGACATTTGTCTTCTGGATGTCACAATGACTTTGGGGGAAGTGAAGTCCCTGGCATTTTTAGAAGGTGGATAATGTCCAAGGATGCTGGACATGGTCCAGTGTTCGGACGGTCTGCCTGAGATAGCTGTCCCACTTGTGGGTCCCCTGCTGATCAACTACGCAAGAGACGACACTGACACTGAAAGTGAATCTTGCAGAAGGTAGAGAAAAGACATGAATGAATAGTACTGCAGCAAAAAGATGGATAATAGATGAAATGCAGAAAGCAAAGCTCAGAGGTGACTTTTCATTCTGGTGGCTGGAGTAAGAGACGGGGTTTTCGGCCTTCTCCCAAATCTAGCAATCAGGTAATAAATTCCACTCTGTATTACAGTGAGGGTATTGAGACATTAGTCTTTAAATTGACATACAAGGATAGTCTCCATGGAGACTTTATGGAGCTTTATGTTATTTTTGCTTATCTGGTTGAACAACAGGCAGAAACTCACACTGAACTGAAATTCTCAGCTACTTTCCCTTGAACACCTGACACTGGGCGGCCTGCTCTGGGTGCTCTGACAGGGAAACCGGTTTGCTGCTTTGTACAAGAGCTCTGGCTGATGATGGCTAGGGTTTGCTCCTGCAAGAGCTGGGATGGACAGTCACACTCACCCGTGAAGCACAAGGTAAGCAATCTGATGGCTAAGGTCTGGCGGCTCAAAAGCATCTTTGTTAGTTGGTAAGTCCTTTCCTTCCTTTCACATCTGAAAAGAAATCAACATTAGGATATCAAAATTCTAGTGTCTAATTGGATTGTAAAAATAGAAATGGGCCCCCAAACAGACCCACAAGAAACAGCCAAACTTCCTGGTTGCAGCCTCCCCTGCCCTCCCAGGCGCCAGGCGATTTCCTCAGACAGCTTTGGGCAGTGATCCTCTCCCCAATAGGGAAAAATTTCCAATGTGACTTTTGAACAGGTCAAAAAACTGGCTAAAAAAATGTTTAAACATATAAAAAGCTAAACAGTGAGGAGTCTTGCCTCCTTTAGGAAACTACTTCATTTATTAATTTATTATGGTGAATTCTTAGGAATGTCTTTTTGCAGAAGCATAAAAAATATATATATACTTATTCCCCCCCTCATTTAGACAAGAGATAGCAGGTATAATCTCTGTTCTACCTTGACGTTTTCTACTTAAAAATTTATTAGGGAGGTCTCTTCCCCCTCACCGCCACAATGACAAATTTCCTGCTTTTGTTGTTTTAAATAATTGCACAGTGTCCTGTTCTATGGTCATAACATCATTTATGTCACTAGTCTCTGATGATGGACATTGGAATTGTACCTCATCTTCTGTGCAAGGAATTTTCTGGAGTACCCCTTGCCCATGTGCAGGTCTCAGTGTAGAGGAATTTCCAGGTGTAGGATGGCTGCACGCTGTAGTTTGAACGTGTCCCCTCGGTGATCGAGTTTTGAAACTTAGTCCCCAGTCCCAGGGTGGGGAGAGCTGGGGCTTTAAGCAGTGATGAAGTCATCAGTGCTCTGCCTTCGTGAATGTGTTAACAGTGACACGGAGGAGGTAGGCTCATTACTGAGAGGGGTTTGTTACAGAGCAAGTTCGGTCCTCTCTTGGTCTCTTGCCATGTGAAGTCCTCTACTACGTTGTGATGCAACAAGGTCCTCTCTAGATATGGTCCCCAACCTTGGGCTTGCCAGCCTCTAGAACCATGAGCCAAACAAATATCTGTTCTTTACAAACAATGACCTTATCTGTGGTACTGTTCCTGTACCATAACATGGACTAAGACATAAGCAAGAGTCCCATCGGCCATGGTGCCAGCAGAAAACTGCACATTCAAGTTAAGAATATTTTGAGAAAGACTATTTCATCAAGGGGCCATTTATGGAGTGGGAGCAAGATGTGGGCACTGCATAAGGGAGCATGCAGTTCCTCCAGCTAACAACAGGGGGACCCATCACCACCCTGAGCTAGAAGAGCAAAAGAGAAGACACCAACGTTGGAATATGGATGGAGGAATCCCGTGTGAAGACCTATGACAAGGGGCAAAAGACACCACCAACCCAAGGTGACTGTGCAGGGAGAGGACTGCGGAATAAGTATCCCTCACCATTTCCGTTCCTTCTCTAACTTGGGCCTCCCCATTGGCTAAACCCAACTGGGAGCCACATGCCAAGGGGGCTGCAGCTGTGTCCCTGCAAGTCATGGGCCAAGGCCATGTAAAGGGCAGGGAAGGCGGAGGGTGAATGTGCAGGGGCAGACATAGGGACCTGGCAATCGGACTAAGCACTTGTAATTCGGGTTTTTTTGGTACCGGGGATCAAACTTTTGCTTGCAAGGCAGGCGGCGGAACCACTGAGCTAAATCCTCGGGCCTAAGCACTTGTAATTCTGATAGAGACGGCCACACTGCCCGGCCTGCAGCAGGTACCAGTTTACAGAAGTGCCCACAATGGGCCGGGGATTTAGCTCAGTGGTTTCGGCGCCTGCTGAGCAAGCTCAAGGACCTGAGTTCGATCCCTGGTACCACCCCCCCCCCCCCAACAAATACAGCAAATAAAAAATATTCAAATAACTGCTGGGGATTTAGCTCAGTGGTGCCACCGCCTCCCTGAGTTCGATCCCTGGTACCACCCCCCCCCCCCCAAACCAGAAATGCCCACAACAGGCGAGTACTTTTGGTTCTCCATTGCCGCTTCATAGAGATTTCTTGGGTTTTCAACAAATTCATAAATGAAAAGTTATCTTCACCCCAATATTCATTTGTACTTTCTTATTCTGAAGGAGTGAAGCATCTCTTCATAGATTATGAGCTACTTCTATTTCTTTCCTGTTAAAAGCCTGTTTGTCCCTTTGCCCGTTTTTGTACGGAGCTGTGCTGTTTCTTACTGGTTTGCAGAAACTGTGTGTATGTACGAGGGAAACTGGCCCTTTGTGATACAAATCACATTTTTCTCTTCTCTTTTTGTCATTTGCCCTTTGTTTGATTGTGCTTAAAAAACAAACAAACACTACTCAGAAATTTCTGGGTTTCATGTTTTCAGAATGAAAGATACAATTGGCTGTCAGTATCTGTGGGTTCTGCATCAGCTGATTCAATGAACTGTGGGTCAAAACTGTAAGAGAAACTTGCATCTGTATTGAACATGTACAGACCTTTCCATCCTTGACCTTATTTCCTAAACAGTACTGCACAACATCTGTCTATGTAGCCCTTCCATGACATTCAGAGTTCTATGCAATCTAGAGCTGCTTTAGAGTCCACAGCATGGCGTGTCTGTCATATGTGGACACCATGCCATCCATATAAGGGACCTGAGCTGGAATTACAGGCATCCACTAATATTCCCAGCTGAGAGAGATTACTGAAGAAGAATTTTAAGGAGTTCTAATCAGTTTGGGGTTTTTTTCCTCTCTCTCTGTCTCTGTCTCATATCTTTTGTCCCCATTCAGGCAACTAGGCCCTATAGATTCTGAGTGTTCTTGAGTCCCCCCAATACTGGGGCAGTATGAAACAGCAAGTCAAAATGACAAAAGACCATGAAATAGCAGACTGAGTCCAGGCTACAGACAACTTTAAAAGTCCTCCTGACTGCAATGTTGACGGGTCTTACCCACAGTATTTTTCTGGAGAAATCCAGGAGACTCCAAGTCAACATGTCTATCCCTTCCACACAAATGGCCAATAAATACATGAAAAAAAATGTTCAACCTTGCTGGCCATTCAAGAAATGCAAACTAAAACAACACTGAAATTCCATCTCTCTCCAGAAAGAATGGCTATAATTAAGAAAACAACCGATAGTGCAGTTTTCAGACATGTTCAGGAAGAATCAGTCGAGTTTTTTTTTAAAGCATCATAATTGCACTATTTATATCAAGATGCCTGGTAAAGCAAATGCTTCCAAGAAAAAGTCTCAACAATTAAAAAAATTCAAAAAGAAAAACTGATGATGAAGAAATAGAGTTGTCAGAGAAAGAGGTTAGAAGCATAATAAAAAGTAAAAATCATCCAAAGCACATGTCTTCTGAAGGACAAACAAATCATATTAATCTAAAGCAGATAAAGACAGCATCCAACAAGAGAAAAACCTGGCAACCTCTTTCAAAGAGTGTGAGGGAGCATTTGCAAACTATGATGGAAGCAGTAATAATAGCAATTTTGAGTAATAAAATTAAAGAAAAAAAACAAATTCAGTATCATCTCAACTGCCTGAAGAAAAGGTTGCTACAACTGTGTGAAACCCTGAAAGGCCCTCCCCAAAAGCTGAAATATTTAACTAATGTGGCAAGTCGACTGAAAATGGAAAGAGCACAATAGAGAGGTAATGAAGAAGGCCCAGCATTACTGCAGGATGAAATAGATGAAACAGTACAGATTACGGAGTCAGTGACGGGAAATATTCAGAGTCTAAAAAACAAAATTGAAATTCTGACACATGAGATAGAGGAAGAGGAGGAAAAGGCAAAAGAGATGCTTCAGCTGGATCGATGTAACATACTTTCCCTCCCAGAGCTTTCTCGGCACAGTCTGAAAGCACCCACACTGCAGAAAGAAGTTTTGATGCTAATTCCAAACCAGAAAGTTCCTCTAAAAGACTTGGATGTTCTTCATAATTCATCCCAGATGAAGAACATGTCAGTGTTCATCGAAGAAGCCTGTAAGAAACTAAATGCCTCTTAGAGAATTTTAAAACATTGTTTCCTATTAATTTAATCTTTATAAATTTGTGAAACTGTTAACCTATGATGTTACAGAGGCTGAAGCTTCTGCAGGATTTATTATCCTCTAATATGCTCTTTAAAATTGGCCTGTGTAGGCCTATCATTAGCATCTAATGTAGTCCTTAAAACTTTTTAGCAGTTATGAAATCTAGAAAATCAATATTTATATTGCTGTATCGCAGTTATTTGCCTAAAACATAAGGCAGGAATAGCTATGCTCCGATAGTTTGTGATGGCTACTGGGAGCTCACCTGTGTTGGCACAGCGGAGTCCTGATGCTGTGACACTGTGTGTGTGATGTGCCCACGTGCAATGCTTAGAGCATAAACACAAGAGTGTTTGCTGTCACTCATTCTGTAGCTGAGAGCTTGCATTTTCTGTCTGCTTTCAGAGCTTGAGAAATCCCCAAGTGCCTCTACCCTTACCTAACTCCCTCATCTTGTTTGATAGTTAAAGTTTTCCAGGTTCCTTCAACTTTGAAGTTGGCATTAAGTTTTTATTTTGCTTGTTTTAAATATTTACTTTCTACTGTCATCAAAGCATAGTCTTAAGAAAATTACTAAAAAGGGATCTAAGCATATTTATTCCCTTAAAACCAACCAAAAACAAAACAAAACCTGTTTTGAGAAGACCCAGTGCAAGAGAACCAGCTACCAAAGGTAGAAGGTACTGAGAGACCAAAGAAAGCAGACAGCCGGGCATGGTGGTGCATGCCTGTAATCCTAGCACTTGGGAGGCTGAAGCAGGAGGATCTTTGCAAGTTCAAGGACAGCCTGGGCTACCCACTGAGTTCAAGCCCAGCCTGAACTATGTAACGAAACCCTGTCTCAAAACAAAACCAAAAAAGCCGACAAATTTGGGATTACCAAAATGTGTCTCTCAGACAGCAGCAAGATAGGCAGATTCTTGTACCCCAGATTTCAGCAGCAGGAAGGGGATTATATGCTAAGCCAGACAAAGTGGCCCATAGCCAATTAGAATCTATGATGATACGCTTTTATATATAAATACATTATTACTTAAATATATAAAAAATCATTTGTAATAAATCATTTGTAAAATAAAATAGTTACAATTAAAAAAAAGAAAAGAAAAGAAAACAACCAATACAAATGCTGGAGAGGCTGTGAGGAAAAAGAAAACCTCTTTCATTGGTGGTGGGCATGAAACTAGTACAACCACTATGGAGATTCCTCAAAAAACTAAAACTAGAAGTTCTATTTGACCCACCTATTCCCCTTCTAGGTATCTTTCCCAATGAATTTTGAAGTCATGTTACTACAGTGATACATGGATAACTATGTTTATAGCAGCACAATTCATAATAGCTAAGTCTTGGGAGCAGCCTATATATCCATCAACAGATGAGTGGATAAAGAAAATGTGTATTTATGCACAATGGAGTACTACTTTGGTATAAAAAAGATAAATGTGAAGCATTTGTAGTTAAATGGATGAGCCCTGAGACCATGTTAAGTAAATCAGACACACAAGCTTAAGTATCTCATGGCTCTCCTATACAAGAAAGCACAAAGTTATAAATAAAGTGCAAAGAAAAGACAATAGGAAACAGAGAGATGGATCTCACAGGAAGGCAGCTGAGAGATGGAGGGACAGCAGAGGGATGGGAAGGAAAGGAGAGGAAAAGGCAGGGCTTTGTGAAGTGCTGTGTAGCTGCACCAAATCCCCACAAGGATGCGACCATCATGTATTACAAACAGGTGCAGAAAATCAAATACACATTAGTGAAGGGGTCCAAGGCATGCAGGGAGGGGAGGGTGGGGAGAGAAAAGAATAAGAAAGAGAATTAAGAAACGTATGTGCACCACCTCTTCACAATCATTACGGACTACAAAGATGTACTAACAAACAAAGAAAAATAAAAACAAAGCAAAATTTCTATCCCTTTTCGGAGGCTCAGGTGGGGCCACTTACCAACTTAGCGAGACCCTGTCTCAACATTTGAAAAAAGAAAAGACAAGAGGGCTGGGGATGCGGCTCAGTGTAAAGGCCCTGGGTTCAACCCCCAGTATCAGATAACGGATAAAAATCCTGCCCCTGCTGGACGCTGCCCACTTCTGCCCACAGCATGTCCCACCATGTCACCCTTCGGAAACACCGGCCGTGCACCCATGCACTATGAATCACCATCTCCCATGACGACTCCACAGGGGAGGGGGTGCATGTTAATGAGCGTGGCCCCTGGACACGGGGCACCTCCAGGAGGCTGAGGCAGGAGGATGGCCACAAATCTGAGACCAGGTTGAATTAAATAGAGAGACCCTATCTCAAAAATGACAACACAAAACCACCATGTTCCTCTGGGCCAGTGAACGCCTTCTCCCCTTGCTTTGGTCCTGGTGACCCCTACTCCACTTGAACCAGCTGTCCAATAGGCTCATGCTTGTTTGTAAAACCCAATTTCCAGACTCACTTGAATTGTTAGTGGAGCTCCTCTGCATTCTCCTGACTGCAAACAGATCAGTCTCCCTACAGCACAACTCTCAGGGTCTCATCTCCAAAGCCAAGGCCACCCATCTCTCCCGGGGCCCTGCATGGAGAAGGTTCCACCTCTATGCAGTGCTCTCCGGGGCATCTTAACATCTCCAATGCTTTCACCTTTGAGTCTGTGGCTCCTTGGTACTGTCTGAAAGGACAGTGGCACAGCACCAGGAGGGGAGCCTTGGCTCTCCTGTGGGTTGCCTCCCTCTCCAGCGGGCTGGGTTCCGTGCCCTTGGACTACTGCTGCCCTCTAGGTGGGTGCCGACTGGGTCACGCTGCAGAGAAGCCCCCTGTGCAGGAGACTGCAGTATTGATGATGCCCAAAGCAGCTGTAGGCAGTGCAGGCTGTGAAGAGTTAACTCCACAATTGGCTTGTTTATAGAAGCAAGTCCGGCAGAAGCCTATGTGCAAAGGTCAGCAACTCGCACCCAAAGTCCGTTCCCACAATTAAAACCCTCTTAGTAGAAGGACAATGTTCTAATTACAACCATATATTTTGTCTATTCTGTTCCTAATTTAAGAATGCTTTGTCTTGCCCTTCACGACCCTTGTTTACATTAATTTCCATAGAAACCCTATGACTTCACATCCTCGCATGTAGTTTCACCCTTGCACATAGCTCACCTTTACCCCAATGGATTACCAATAAAAATCAGTGGCTTTGACTGGCTAGCACCTTTGTTGGTTGTACGGGCATTGGTCATCCTAGTGCCCTGCTTCCTGTCTCTCTTAGTTCTATTAGTTTTTTCCCCTCAGGCCTGTGTCATACACTGGGTGGGAGACTGGAGGTGTCTGATAACATTTCAGGGGTCCCCAGTACCCACGGTGTTGCTGGGAGCTGAGCCTCCATTGCTGACACAGCCGGGACCAGATGGGCAGAGGCCATTCCCTCTGTGGGCTGGCAGTGCCCGGCGCACCCAGGAGCAGCTGGCTGGGAGGTCTGGGTTGGGGGGTGAACCTCTGGGTCACAACTAGCACACTGGGAGCAGAGGTTCAAAGACTTTGCTATGGGTGGGGCTGGGGGGCTCTTGGGAAATGGAGATGCAGGGGGATCGAAGCCAGGGCCTTCACACTTAGCTACAACCCCACCCAGCCCTTTTTATTTTCAGACAGAATCTCTCTAAGTCACTCATTGCCCAGCTGGGCTAAACCTTGCAATCCTCCTGCCTCAGCCTCCCAGAGTGTGGAGATCAGAGGCATGCACCGTCATGCCCAGTCTGGAGATTCTTCTGACAGGGGTTGAGTTGTCATGCAGACATCCTGGTGGGAACTGAACTCACCAGAGGGAACGATTTCCCAGAATCTAACACTACCTCTACCAGCTGTGGGAAATACTGGAGTTGTTTTGCCTGGACTGGGCCATTCCGGTGGAAGGAAAGGGCGCTCTGGTTTGCGTCAGTTCTTGGGCCATGCTCAGCTGGGTTCTGCTCGTCTCTCTCAAAGCAGGCGAAAGCCTCCTCTGCTCGTTTTCTGCTTTCCAGCAGCCGGTGTTTCTGGATTGCCCATCTACTCTGCACCCGAGTACAGACATCTTTGCTCTTATTTTCAGGGGGGTAAGATTTCCTGGTTACACCTTCCTGGATCTGGCTTGAGTCGGCTCTGGCAGGCCGGCAGGAACCTCCCAGGATGCGTTACCCTAATTGTGTGCTTCAGTGATTCTGCATGGGAACTAAATGCACCGTTACTGCCATTTAAATCTGGCTTTGCATAACAATATCAAGAAATGTGAAATTTATGTTAACCATTTGATTTTTTATCTTTTTACTTAGAATGCCATTAAACAGCAAATTTAAAAATATGATCATGAAGCAGGGCCTGTTGGCACATGCCAGTAAGCCCAGTAGTTGGGAGGCTGAGGCAGGAGGATCACCGTGAGTTCAAGGTCAGCATGGACTACACAGCTAGACCCTGTCTCAAAAGACACCACACATATATATACCTATGACACTACAGAAGAACAAACTTTCTATTTTAGTACCTCTAGTGGTACTTTTCTGTTTGGGAATGGCAGGTCCTACTGGGCCCTACAAGTCATGCAGCTGCACGCTCCTGGCTCACTCCCACCGACAGTGCCCAAGCTCCTCAGAGGGAGTTCAAGGGCACCATCGGCTTTGCAGTTTTCCCTGCAGTTAGCGTCCCACGTGTGCCGGCCATGCCAAGCTCCGGGCAACAGGTCACCCTGCTCAGCCTTCTCCATTCCCTTCGCCCTTTCAGAAGCCCTCCTGCTATTCACCCCCATCCCTGACACACACTGCCGGTTTCTGAGGCCCAGCTCAAGTGGACGTCACGTGAGTACAGTCACTTCTCTGAGTTCCACTCCTCCTCCACAGATGACCAATCCACAGGGAGCCCCAGCGCACAGCCCCTGGTCGACAGTACAACTGCGTCTTTTCCTCTGTCCAGCGCAGCCTGATGACTGATACATCACCAGGTGGTCCACGAATCATGAATGAATGGAGCTTGGAAATATTAGACAATCACACAACTGTTGTTCCTGGACATTAAAAGCAAAACACCAGAGAGTACAAAGAAGAACATAACAATCACCTTTATTTCCACCATTCAGCATCAATCACGAACACCTTGGTAGATTTGTTTCTAGTTTATTTTTCACATGTCACTCGTTTCTGTAAAAATTCAACATGCACATTTAAAAAAGTGAAAATAATGTATAAAAGTAGTCTCAACATCTGGATATTATCATCACTAACATTAAATGAACAGGATCTCACAGGCCTTTCCAGATTCATAAATACATACACACGCTCATGCAGTTTGTCTAATTTTAATTCTAATTAAGAAAAAACCAAAGTAAATCTGAAGGAATTGCTGAACTCAATTTTTTTTTGTCCATAAGAATTACTTCCTTAATATCTCTCTCAGGTTAAAAAAAAAAGTCTTATGAAAGACATTAGGAAGTTGGAGTATTCTATATTCACAGCTCCTTTTAATTTGAAACCATATTTGCTGATCTACTCTTTGAAAGATATTACATTCTCATACTTCCTTCTCTTTTCCTGTTGTACTTCCTTGCTTCATAGCTATATATATTTTTGTCTGTGTTTATAACAATTCTATTTTACCCACAGTTGCTTTTTTTGTTTCTCACTATGTAGCCCAGGCTGGCCTTGAACTTGCAGTGATCTTCCTGCCTCAGCTTCCCGCGTCCTGGGATTATACGCATGTACAACCAGGCCTGGTTCTTCACCCTTTCTTGTATTATTTCGACAAGATATTCTGTATTATTTCTACATTTAAATAGAATAAATAAACAGTTTTCATTGCCATTTCTCTACTCCTGAGTTCTTTATCTCTTTATTTGCTGTTTTTTGGATTTTGTTTTCCAGTTTGTTTTTCAGTAGGGCTCATGGTGTCTGAATTCTCTGTTTTTCATGTGAGAAAGGCTTTTCTCTTTTTGGTGCTGGAGCCTGAGCCCAGGCTTTGTGCATGCTGGGCAAGTGCTCTGCCACTGAGCTGCATCTCCACCCCACATACCACTGCCCAGGACAAAATACCCCGCAGGACAGAAAGTGCCAAACTGCAATCCCAAACCCACTTATTTATCACACACAAAGTGCCAACACTGCAATTAAGCCTGCATACTGAAGTTTGAGTCTAGAAAAAACAACTTCACATTAACATCTTTTGTTTTTTTTTTTTTGGTACCAGGGATCGAACTCAGGTCCTTGCGCTTGTGTAGCAGGCAGCGAAACCACTGAGCTAAATCCCTGGCCCCACATTTGTTGTCTTAAAAGAAAAACATAATAACTTGTGTGCCATGGGTTCATTCGGCCACCACTGCCTTTGGGAAGTTTCCTTCCCTGGGAGATTTCTCTTTGGAATTATTAGCTTCTGGTGTTTTCCATTACACTAGCCAGTCTGAGGCCAGCTTGATTTTGTTTCCCCCTCTTTTCTTTTTTCTTCCTGTGTTCCTAGTTTTTCCTTTGAATCAAAACCACTGAAGATGTCTTAGTGCTGAGCACTCTCATGTGAAATTTTCCTGGATTATCACAAGTTCTTTGGGTCTACAGGCCATTTTTTTCTTCATTTCGGCAAGATTTCTTTTTTCTTTTTCCCCTTTGGTACTAAGAATCGAACTCAGGACTTTGTGCTTTCAAGGCAGGTGCGGTGTCACTGAGCTAAATCCCCGGCCCAGCAAGATTTCTTTTCTTCTTCTTCTTTTTTTTTTTTTTTGCATTTCTGTCACCTTTGTTAATTTCTCTCTATCAGGGATTCCAATAATTTTAAGTGCCTGATTGTGTTTTGTCGTCTATGTCAGATTCTTTTAAATTGAGTTTATCTTTGTCTCTTTCATCTACTCTCATTGGACTTACATCAAGCCTTCCCACTATTCAAATATTTTTGTTTCCAGTACCATTTTCTCTGATTTTTTCCTCTCATTTCTTCTGTAATTCTGTTTGTATGGTCTTCAATTTGTTCTTATGCCTCCAAACTATGTTCATTTAAATTTTTTTCTCATTTTTGAGTTTTTTATTGCATCCAAATTTTTACCAACCTGTTGTAAGGTACAAGAAGATATACATATGCATGTACATATATGTATGTATGTCTATACAAAAATTTTTTTAAAGTAAAACTCTTTGGAAGCTAGGTTGTTCCTTCCTTTCCTTTTCATACCTCTTCCCCCTGCTGTGCTTGGAGGGCTTCATCATCTGCCCTGACACAAAAGAGGGAAATCCTGACTTCCTAAAGTTGGAACAGCTGGACTACTTCTTGAGGCCCTGCCCCGGTGCTGGGATGGGGTGGAAAGGAAAGGGAGAAGAGCTTGGTTTTTGTCAGAATGCTGGGTCCTGCTTTTTCCCAGACACGAAGGAAGTGCTTTGTGTCAGGCCTAACTTAAGTGAGTCTTTCATAAACAAACGGACAAAGCAAACAGGCTGCTTTTAGCAAACAACTGCAGCTTCTCAGTAAATAGGGCAAATGGACTCAAAAGGAAGTATACAACCCCCCTGGTGCTGAGAAGTCCAGTGATTGTTGACACACCTGAGCAGACGGTCGTCCTTGGGCATCCAAGTCATGAACATTTCATCCCAGGGCTGGGGATTTAGCTCAGTGGTTCCGCCGCCTGCCTGGAAAACGCAAGGTTCTGAGTTTGATCCCCGGTACCAAAAAAAAAAAAAAATTCACCCCAGATTCCTTTGCCCCTTCAATACCTACATAAGCCCAATTCCTTTCCCAGTTGCTGCTATTATCTCTTTCCTGGTGTTAGCCCATCCGCTCACAGATGAAATCTCTCCCAGCTAGCTGCTGCTCTCTCTCTCCCAATGTCAGCCCATCCACACACAGATGTCATAAACTTGGCTTTTTCCAACTAGCTGCTAAAATCTCCTGATTTTCAGTCTCTGTTAACTGGAATAAACTTTCTTTCCAAAACCTATTTTTGACAAGTGGGTTCTTTATGACACTTTGCATGCTGGCTCCATGGCTCTAGAGCAGTGACGAGTGGCATCAGCCATGTGGGCTTTGGGCCTTCTCCTCCCCCACCTCACCCCCTTCTGCCCAGCACAAAGGGTCACTGCCACTCCTGCTAGCAGGGCCAGACTTTGTTTACTTCCTTCCCACTGATGAGAGAGGATTTTTGAGATTTTTGTTGACTTGCCATTATAGTTTCTAGTTTTGGGGACATGCTAAAAAACCCCCCAAACACCTCAGAATTAAACAACCAAGCAAAGAAAAATAATAAACCAAGCTTAAAGATCCCAAATTTACAAACACTCTCACTTGTGGGGTAAAGTACGTGTGCCCATTTTCAGTGGCCCCTAACGATGGACTTCCCATTGACGTACCTTTCTTTTTTCTTATTTTGCTCTTTCTTTTCTCTACTTCTCACCACCCTTAAGAAAGCCAACCTCCTCTGCTAAGTGACTACTTTTCCTTTATTCCTCCCTGGATTGCACACCACTAGTTTCTCATCTTAAAGGAAGAATGAGCCCTCAGGGAAAAGAGCCCTTAAAGGAAAAAAGAGCCCTCAGCCTGAGATAGATTCCAGGACTCCCTTCCCCAGAGTCCCGAACTTCACAGGGGCTCACATTTCTTTCCTGTGGACTTTGTCATCTCCAGATTACTTCTGATATCAAGTGCAATGTAAACAGCTGGTGTAGCACATTGTTTAGGGGCAAGGACAAGGGAAAACACTTGTACATGTTCAGTCCAGCCCACATTCAGTGCAGATGGTTGGCTGAACTTGCAGATAGATGTGGGACCACAGATAAGGACAGCTAACAGAATGTCAAGCTCCACACTAGCTCGGTAGTACTTCATGAATTTTAAAATGTGCTTTTCCTTTTGACATCTGAATATTTTCAAAATCAAAATGCTTTGTACGGTGGCATGTCACAGTGTGACTGACAGTAGCTTTTATTACTTGGTCATATAAATATAAGTGTATCTTACAATCAATGGCATTTTAGTTTGGGTGTTAATTTTGGGTAAATATGAAGAGTGATCATCAAAGAATGTACACGTCCTTGACCTCAACAGCCTGAAGGTTTATAAATGTAACAGGAAAATGAGTCCAATGTGGCCTTGTGTGGGCAAGTGCCAGTGATGGAATATATATTTTAATACACGTTTCACTTCTAAGATACTTCCTCTTGGGCCATGGTCCTTCTAGTTTTGTTTTGTTTTTTTTTTTTGAAGACAAGTCACCGTTTGTCAAATAAAAATCAAAACTCTGGCAGATTTTTACTTTTTAAATAAATGCAAGAGAAACTTTAAAGACAACAAAAGAAAGTCACGCTGACTTTTGATGATTTAAAATGGAAAAACAACTTGTAAACAATAGCAGCTAAAAGTTCAAGCCACTTCCTGAGACAGCTCACACCTTATCAGCCATGCCCAAATTGCTGGTGACATTTATGACTTTTGCCTTACAGCAGACCCTGGCGTGGCCTCTGTTTCCTCCCTTCTACTAAGCACGAGCAGGTGGACTGGCAGGCGGAGGCGAGGGACGCCCGTGGGATTTCGAGCCCCTGGGTCCTGACCCGACATGGGGGAAGGGGTCAGGCAGGACTTGTGGGACCGTCCGGGCAAGGCGCCCAGCAGTCTGGGACGGTCTCTCAAAGCTGTTCCTTTCTACGACTTCCTGCCAAAGGAGACCATCAAACAAACATTACAACACAAAAGGAGGTGTGGTATCCAGTTTTCCAGTAAAAGCACCGCTAGTCAAAACCAGTGGATAAGTGGAACCACCTCGCTGCTGCATTTAACCGCTTTACTCCCAGCAGAAACGCGAGCTATGAGTATCTTCCAATATTTGCAGAATATTTTTCCGCTCTCATCACTCCTGGCCCCAGAAGGGCCCACTCCTCTGTGCCCTCGGCCCTCCACCCCCAGCTTCCAGGCTGTGGATCTAAGAGACTTCTGCCCGGGCTGTCCTCCGTGGCCTCTCTCCCGAAATGGAATAAAGGAGGCTTAATCCCGGGCTTCTCCTGTGGGGCGGGCCCGAGGCCCCGACCCAGAGCCCAGAAGGATAACCTAGTTTTGCAAGGCCGGCTAGATCTTGAGGTATCGGACCCTCCAAGTTCACAACGGTTCACAACTTGCAGCAGCGAGTGCCCAGGTGTCCCATGCACCCTTGGTGCGATGGCGGGGGCGGCGGGGGACATTGCGGGGATCGTGGGGGTGCTGGGGCTGGGGGCAAAACTCGCGGCTCCCAGCAGGGGGATAACGGGGCGCGCCCGGGCCGCCGCCAGTGCTGCGTGGGGATCGTCCGTGGGGGCCAGGCCGGACCCGACCGGGGCGGGGCGGGGGGCGGGGGGCGGGGGTCCCCAAGGCTGCACCGGGAGGGGCGCGGGGCGGCTCAGCCGGAGTCCCGCCTCGGAGAAGGAACTGGGATTCCGGGAAAAGGCTGCGGCGGGGAGGCCTTGCTGCGCTGTCCCGGCGCCGGCGCTCCGCACGCGTCCCGTCCCCACCTTACCTCGGCTGCTCCGCCCCGCAGGCCCCCGCGCCCGCGCCGTCGCCGGGATACTCGGGGGTGGCGGCCTCTCGGCCTCGGCGGCCGGTGACGACCTCCGGCGGGCGCCGATGGAGGCCGGACACTGGCAAAGCGGCCGTGAGGCCAGGTGGTGGCCGCTGACCGCGGAAGGGAGGATCCGGACTCTCCCCGAGACTCTGTGTCGCGCACCTAAAGATGCTTCGGGCGCCGGAGCGCGAGCCGAGAGCCCGCCTCGGAACTGCCCCGGAAGGCGGCGGGGCGGGGCGGGGACGGGGCGGGGCGGCCGAGGAGGGCAGGGGGCGGGGACGCTCAGGCAATCTTGTTCTGTTAGCTCCGTTACTGATTGCTCCTAACCAAGCCCCACCCGCATCACACGAGATCCATAGAGGAATGTATTATAGATTTTCAAAGCTACAACAGTGCCTTAGAGACACGCTATGAAAATGTGTTGGGTGAATGAACGAAACAGAGAATAAATAGATTCTCTCCTTGCCCCTTCACTTACTAGTTTTAGAAACCTCTCTGATCATAATTCTCCAGTCCGTAAAGCCTCTATGGATTGCAAAGGGTTGGCATAGTTCGGGGCTCAAGCAGGCCTTTGGAAATATTGTATAGATGATCCCTCACCCCGCTGCTTCTCGGTGGGTCTTTCCTTCTTACTCCTACCCCACCCCAGCCCCGCTAAGCAACCCTGCGTCAGAATAGGTGGAGAGGGAAGATATAATTCTTAGTATGCTTGCCTGTTATTTATATTCTGGCAGCTTCCAAAATAGAATGAGGAGGCTTTCGGTAAAACGTATCTATATTCTAAACGTTAACGCTATTACAGTGAAAATGTTAAAATCTTTGTAAGAAGAGGGAAAAATATAATAAGCACCCTGGCTAGTCTTTCAGTTTTCTGGTCTCTGAGGAAAGTGAGGAGGAAGATGTTTCATATTTTTTGCATGCATGGAGAGAAAAGGAATATTTTCATCCAGGAGTCTAACATTTCCTGATGCTCTTTTGTAGGGGAGGCACAGGAGTGTTACACCCAGTGAGAAAGAACCAACCAGAGACCGATATTAAATCCACACAGGAGTTTATTACCAGCCAGGACCCGAGCCGAGCATCGGACTCGAGCCCCACTTGGGGGAGAAAAACATGTTTTATACACCTTTGAGGCCAAGCAGTTTCTAGGCCCGCCTGTGGGATAGAACTAGCTAAGCAAGCGAAAGGTACAGAAGGCGGAAAGTCCGGCAGTTAGAACATTTGTAAAACAATAGTTAATTAATTGTTATTTCTAAAGGGACTTTTAAGGGGAGGAGGTTTCTAAGCTTCCTCCTTCTGAGTTCATCTGAAGGACAGGCAGGTGGGTCAAGCAGCAACATGGAGTTTGTCTTGCTAACTAGGGTCCTTCAGGAGTATTCTTAAAGTGTCCTAGCCCTGCCTCTCATGTTACCCGGCAGAATTCCCACAGGCTCCATGAGATCTGAAGGGAGCTCCTTTGGGATTCTGGGTCCTTACAAAAGACAGGCAGTACTGGAAATGTTTTTAGCCATGGAATCCTCGCCCACCCCACCCCCCACCCCCCAATACTAGGGGTTGAACCCAGGGCCTTCACACTGAGCTACTATTCCCAGCCCTTTTTCTTTTTTACTATGAGACAAGGTCTTGGTAAGTCACTAAGTTGCTGGTCTGGGCTCAATTTGTAATCTTCCTGGTTCAGCTTCCCATAGTGACAGGATTACAGGCATGTGACACAGTTCAGCTCAACCACACATTTAGAGAAGTTGCAGAAATGGCCTCTGAAAGTAAGGGAAAGAGAATACAAAACTCCATGTATTGCATGAACATTTTTAGGTGAATATATATTAAAAATAGAAATACAGCAAAGTGTTAACTAAGGTTAATTAGATTGCACAAATAGATCAATGAAACAGAATAGGGGACTCAGAAATATATCCACACAAATATGAGGTATGAATATGGTGAAAGTTTAAAAAATTTATTACAGTAAAAGACATATTGCCACCCATCCCCCTCAAAATACTCCTCCTTGCTGCAAATACATTTATCTCGTCATTCATGCCACTTTCTGAAACACTTCTGGAAGTCCTCTTTTGTAAGTGTCTCCAGCTGAGCTGCCCTGGCTGCCTCCATTTCCTGAATCAACTCTAAACATTTCCCTTTCATGGTCATTTTGACTTTGGGGAAGAGCCCAAAGTTGTACGGTGCCAGATAGGGTAAATAAGGTGGATGAACATACACTGTAATGATTTTATGAGCCTGTCTTTCCATTGAATTGGATTTGGCAGCAGCATTCATTGTATTTCTGGCCACACCTGGTAAACACAGGCAGGAAAGAGGACTTCCAGAACAACAAAGACGGGATACATATATTCAAAATGAGGGAGAGTATTTGAGGGGGATTAATGGCACTGTGCCTTTTGCTGTCACAAGTTGTTAAAAATGTTAAACATTCATCATATATCTCGATCATCCCTTGTACATTCAACCGATCTTTGACAAAGCAGCAAAGACAATGCAGAAAAGACAGTGCTTCCAACAAATAGTGCTAGAACAATTGTGGTACGCTGTGGAATTCAAGTGTCCCCAAAGGCACCTGTGCTAAAGACTTAATTCACAGTTGGCACTACTGGGAGGTGATGGAAACTTTAAGAGGAGGGGCTATTGGTAAGTCTTCTGGTCTCTGAGGTGAGCCCTGGGAGGGGACTATGGGATCTCACTCCCAGCTGTGCTTCACTTGTGTGCCCTGACTTTCCCCTAGCCCCAAAGTAACAGAACTGCTCGGTCCTAGACTGAAACCTCTAAAATCACAAGCCAAAGTAAAACTTCTCTCTTATGAGGTTGGTCATCTCAGGTATTTGTTGTAGTATTAGAAAGCTCACTAACACAAACTGGATATGAAAACTGATGAATCTAGACACACATTTTATGCCTTTCACAAAAACTAATTCGAAGTAGAGCATAGGCTTTAACATAAAATGAAAATTCTGACAAGATAACATCAGAGAAAATCTAGGGGACTTTGGGTTTGGTGGTGACTTTTTAGATACAGCAAAAACACAAGGCTTGAAAGAAAAATAAACTTGATAAAATGGACTTCATTTAAATTAAACACTTCTGCTCAGCAAAAAACATTTTAAAGATAATGAAGAGACAATCTGCAGACTTTTGGAAAATATTTGCAAAACTTGTATTTAATAAAGGACTTGTATCCAAAAGTATACAAAGAGCTTTGAAGGTAGCAATAAAATAAAACAAGTAACCCAATTAAAATGTAGACAAAGAATCTAAAGAGATCTTTTACCAGAGAAAATAGAGAGATGATAAGTAAACATATAAAAGGATTCTTGACATTGCATGGCATTAAATAATTGCAAATGAAAACAATAAGGTATGACTAAACACCTATCAGAATGGCTAAAATTGGCAAGACTGGCAGCACCAAATGCTAGAGAAGATGGAGATCAACAGGAACTCTTACTTCTTGCTGGTGGGAATGCAAAACGATATTAGCCACCTTGGATGACATTTTGATAGTTTCCTAGACAGCTAGACAATCTTACCTTATGATGCAGATTTATCCATATCCTGCAATGAGTTCAAAACTTATGTTCGCACAAAAACTTGTACATGGACATTTACTGCAGTTTGATTTATAAATATTCTAAACTAGAATCCCAGACTAGATGCCCAAGGGGAAAGGAGGCAGAAAGACAATGAGAGCATAATTTTCTTCAAGAGATGAATGGAGTAACAAACGGTGGTACATCCACAGAATGGAATATTATTCAGTAGTGAAGAGAAATGAGCTAGCAAACCTCAAAAGGACACGGAAGAGCCTCAAATGCACATCATGAAATGAAAGAGCCAGCCTGAAAAGGCTCCATACTGTACCAGCGTGATTATATAGCATTCTGGAGAAGGCTGAACTACATACAGATCCAGGAAGGTAAGATGTTACCAGGGTTTCAATGTAAAGAGAGCAGGAACGAATAGGTGGAGCACAGGCCATTTGGGGGATAATAAAACTATTTTTTAGAACACTATTATGACAGTTACTTGTCATTATACTTTCGTCAAAACCTACAGAATGTACAACACCAAGAGTGTTCCCTGATGCAAACTACACAACTTCAGTTCATAAGAATGTGTCAGTATTGGCTCATCAATGGTAATAAGTTTCCCACATGATGTTAACAATAAAGGAAACTACGTGGAGTGAGAGGGAGTGTACAGGAAATCTCTGAGTTATAGATTTAATTTTTCCTGAAAATAAAATCTATTAGTTTTTGAATACACAGTCGTCCATTCCCTCAGTAAATATTAAGGAGCACCACCCATGGCAAGCGCGGCTGAGGGCTTTGGAGACAGCACAGTGCACAACACAGGTCAAATCCCTGCCCTCTTGGACTCATACTGTAGTGGAACTGGTGATGCCTACCCAAGCCCATAAGGAACAAGTGAATTTTATCGTGGCACTAAGACATAGTAGCTGGGGGGTTGGCTATTCAGGCCCTGGAAGAGCTCTTAGCCTAGATAGTCTGGGAGGGCAACCTTGGCTGAGGACCCTGGGCTGTGACCTGAAGAAGGATAAGCCTGGGATGAAGAGTTTCAAATGGGCCAAGCTGGAAGAAAAGCAAATGGCCTTCAATGCATCTGAATAAATTTAAACAGTCAGTCTCAAAGGTCCAGCCAAAACAGGAAAGGAAAGAGTCAGCAATGACTGCACTTGTGGGCTCCAGCAGTGGGCATCAGAATCTGGCCTGGGGAAGAGTAGGGGAGAAAGTCTGGGGTGGAGGGTGGAAACTGGATATTCTGCTCTGTAGTGCTGAGTGTGGGATATGTATGGATGCCCAAGGGGAGAGAGAGACAATAAGATGAGAGAGCAACCTGAAGCCTGAAGGGGGGCTGGAGCGGGGCAGGCAGCCCCGCAGTAGAGGGTGGTGAGCTGTGGAAGGCCATCGTAGGTGAATTAAACAGGGTGAGGAGGCATCCATGGGGCAACCTGACACGAGCAAAGGGCAAAGGGGGCATCCATCTGTGAGATGGCTTGGCACAGGGCGTCAGAGTGAAATGATACCCAGCCCAGAGCCTCACAGGGGTAAGAGCTTCACAGTTTAGAGTGGGGATTGGAACCCGAGTGGGTTAAGGAGGGCATCCATGCTGGGAACCAGGAAATGGGAGATTGGTTACATGCAAGGCCTGACTGTTAATTATGACATGTCAATTTGACTTGATTAA